AAAACCGTCATGACGTGATACCGTAATTATGTAAACCCCACTGTACACCCGTCATGACGTGATACTGTATGCATGTAAACACCACTTTAGACTCATCACCACGTGATACTGTGTGTTTTAAAACCCCGCTGTACACCAGAGATGAAGCGATACTGTATGTCTGTAAACCCCACTGTACACTCGCCATGACGTGATACTGTATGTCTGTAAACACCACTGTACACCCGTCATAGCGTGATACTGTATGTATGTCAACACCACTCTACACCCGCCATGACGTGATACCGTATGTCTGTAAACCCCACTGTACACCCGTCATGACGTGATACTGTATGACTGTAAACCCCACTATACATCCGTCATGACGTGATACTGTAATTATGTAAACACCACTGTACACCCGTCATGGCGTGATAATGTATGTATGTCAACACCACTGTACACGCGTCATGGCGTGATACTGTATGTCTGTAAACCCCACTCTACACCCGTCATGACGTGATACTCTATGTCTGTAAACACCACTGTACACCCGTCATGACGTGATACTGTATGTCTGTAAACACCACTGTACACCCGTCATGACGTGATACTGTATGTCTGTAAACACCACTGTACACCCGTCATGGCGTGATACTGCATGTCTGTAAACCCCACTGTACACCAGTGATGTCGTGATACTGTATGAATTTAAACTTCAATGTACACCAGTGATGTCGTGATACTGTATGTCTGTAAACCCCACTGTAAACCCGTCATGACGTGATACTGCATGTCTGTAAACCCCAATGTACACCCGTCATGACGTGATACTGTATGCATGTAAACCCCACTTTAGACCCATCATGACATCATACTGTATGTATTTAAACTCCAGTGTACACCAGTGATGTCGTGATACTGTATGTATGTAAACACCACTGTAAAACCGTCATGACGTGATACCGTCATTATGTTAACCCCACTGTACGACCGTCATGACGTGATACTGTATGTATGTAAACACCACTTTAGACTCATCACCACGTGATACTGTGTTTTAAAACCCCGCTGTACACCAGAGATGAAGCGATACTGTATGTCTGTAAACCCCACTGTACACTCGCCATGACGTGATACTGTATGTATGTAAACACCACTGTACACCCGTCATAGCGTGATACTGTATGTATGTCAACACCACTCTACACCCGCCATGACGTGATACCGTATGTCTGTAAACCCCACTGTACACCCGTCATGACTGGATACTGTATGACTGTAAACCCCACTATACACCCGTCATGACGTGATACTGTAATTATGTAAACACCACTGTACACCCGTCATGGCGTGATAATGTATGTATGTCAACACCACTGTACACGCGTCATGGCGTGATACTGTATGTCTGTAAACCCCATTCTACACCCGCCATGACGTGATACTGTATGTCTGTAAACCCCACTGTACACCCGTCATGACGTGATACTGTATGTCTGTAAACACCACTGTACACCCGTCATGGCGTGATACTGTATGTCTGTAAACACCACTGTACACCCGTCATGACGTGATACTGTATGTCTGTAAACACCACTGTACACCCGTCATGGCGTGATACTACATGTCTGTAAACCCCACTGTACACCAGTGATGTCGTGATACTGTATGTATTTAAACTTCAATGTACACCAGTGATGTCGTGATACTGTATGTCTGTAAACCCCACTGTAAACCCGTCATGACGTGATACTGTATGTCTGTAAACCCCACTGTACAACCGCCATGACGTGATACTGTATGTATTTAAACTTCAATGTACACCAGTGATGTCGTGATACTGTATGTACGTAAACCCCACTTAGACCCGTCATGACGTGATACTGTATGTCTGTAAACCCCACTGTACACCCGTCATGACTTGATACTGTATGTATGTAAACCCAACCGTACACCAGTGATGTCGTGATACTGTATGTATATAAACCCCACTGTACACCCGTCATGACGTGATACTGTATGTATGTAAACCCCACTGTACACCAGTGATGTCGTGATGCTGTATGTCTGTAAACCCCACTGTACACCCGTCATGACGTGATACTGTATGTATTTAAACTCCAATGTACACCAGTGATGTCGTGATACTCTATGCATGTAAACAGCACTTTAGACCCGTCCCGGCGTGATACTGTATGTATGTAAACCCCACTGTACACCCGTCATGACTTGATACTGTATGTCTGTAAACCCCACTGTACACCCGTCATGACGTGATACTGTATGTATTTAAACTCCAGTGTACACCAGTGATGTCGTGATACTGTATGTATGTAAACACCACTGTAAAACCGTCATGACGTGATACCGTAATTATGTAAACCCCACTGTACGACCGTCATGACGTGATACTGTATGTATGTAAACACCACTTTAGACTCATCACCACGTGATACTGTGTTTTAAAACCCCGCTGTACACCAGAGATGAAGCGATACTGTATGTCTGTAAACCCCACTGTACACTCGCCATGACGTGATACTGTATGTATGTAAACACCACTGTACACCCGTCATAGCGTGATACTGTATGTATGTCAACACCACTCTACACCCGCCATGACGTGATACCGTATGTCTGTAAACCCCACTGTACACCCGTCATGACTGGATACTGTATGACTGTAAACCCCACTATACACCCGTCATGACGTGATACTGTAATTATGTAAACACCACTGTACACCCGTCATGGCGTGATAATGTATGTATGTCAACACCACTGTACACGCGTCATGGCGTGATACTGTATGTCTGTAAACCCCATTCTACACCCGCCATGACGTGATACTGTATGTCTGTAAACCCCACTGTACACCCGTCATGACGTGATACTGTATGTCTGTAAACACCACTGTACACCCGTCATGACGTGATACTGTATGTCTGTAAACACCACTGTACACCCGTCATGACGTGATACTGTATGTCTGTAAACACCACTGTACACCCGTCATGGCGTGATACTACATGTCTGTAAACCCCACTGTACACCAGTGATGTCGTGATACTGTATGTATTTAAACTTCAATGTACACCAGTGATGTCGTGATACTGTATGTCTGTAAACCCCACTGTAAACCCGTCATGACGTGATACTGTATGTCTGTAAACCCCACTGTACAACCGCCATGACGTGATACTGTATGTATTTAAACTTCAATGTACACCAGTGATGTCGTGATACTGTATGTACGTAAACCCCACTTAGACCCGTCATGACGTGATACTGTATGTCTGTAAACCCCACTGTACACCCGTCATGACTTGATACTGTATGTATGTAAACCCAACCGTACACCAGTGATGTCGTGATACTGTATGTATATAAACCCCACTGTACACCCGTCATGACGTGATACTGTATGTATGTAAACCCCACTGTACACCAGTGATGTCGTGATGCTGTATGTCTGTAAACCCCACTGTACACCCGTCATGACGTGATACTGTATGTATTTAAACTCCAATGTACACCAGTGATGTCGTGATACTCTATGCATGTAAACAGCACTTTAGACCCGTCCCGGCGTGATACTGTATGTATGTAAACCCCACTGTACACCCGTCATGACTTGATACTGTATGTCTGTAAACCCCACTGTACACCCGTCATGACGTGATACTGTATGTCTGTAAACCCCACTGTACACCCGTCATGACGTGATACTGTATGTAAGTAAACCCCACTGTACATCAGTGATGGCGTGATACTGTTTGTCTGTAAACCCCACTATAGACCCGTCATGACGTGATACTGTATGTATGTAAACCCGACTGTACACCAGTGATGTCGTGATACTGTATGTATGTAAACCCCACTGTACACCCGTCATGACGTGATGCTGTATGTCTGTAAACCCCACTGTACACCCGTTATGACGTGATACTGTATGTCTGTAAACACCACTGTACACCCGTCATGACGTGATACTGTATGTCTGTAAACCCCACTGTACACCAGTGGTGACGTGATGCTGTATGTCTGTAAACCCCACTGTACACCAGTGATGTCGTGATACTGTATGTCTGTAAACACCACTGTACACCAGAGATGACGGGATACTGTATGTCTGTAAACCCCACTGTACACCTCCTCAACCCACGCAAGTAGGTATGTGCTTGTTATGTGAAACGCACACGCGTATATATCAGATTTATTATGACCATACTCTTGTGTTCCAGCATCACGACATGCGCATTATGTCTTGACCAAGTGTCGTGTTTTCTCAACGTGATTGTTGGGCTGATCATATTTCCTGAAGAATATCGTGATGAATCATGCACTGAGCGACCTGGCGGCCTGCCTCCGTATGGCTTCATAATGTCTCACATCACAAAGGCTACATAAACAGAACTGGAGCTGTTCCAGGGATGAAATAATTAAAAGAACACAAAAGGAAACAAGCACAAAAATTAAAAAAATAAAATATATAAATATGTTCTTTAACGAACTAACGAACATTATTAAAAAGAACGAATGAATGAGACAACGCTTTAGAAGAATGATTGAAATCAGTCAAACAATCAATCAATCACTTTTAGTAACCCACCACACACAACTTCCGTTTCCTCTTTCAACGTTCATCAGACAATCAACGTAACTATGACGATACTCCTGTATTGCTAGGTTTAATGTGGTTTAAACGGTTGTATCGCACCCAATCAGGTTCAGATTCAGTTTATTCTCAAGGAATCAGGGTCAACGGTTCGTTCTAATTAACTTACATAAACATACTATATATCTGGACAAATTTGTTATATCTTTTAGCCTTTGGGGTGATACTGTTCTACAGAGTTTACAAATATTTGGCCACATGAAGAATTATTTTTGGAACATACAGACGTTTTTGTTGGAGAAGAGCTTCGCATCTAAAAATCTAGTGAAACTCATGTCCTACTGAATCAATGTACGCCGACTGCAAGACATACTGATTGTTTCTATTCAATATTCCCTAGCCCTGCGGAGCCCCACCCCCGGGATACCGTGATGCTGCACCAGCTGGGTAAAGGCGTCCACGCCCCTAGCATCAGCCCCTTCGTCCTCAAACTCGAGACATACCTCAGGATGTCCAACATACCATACAAGGTAGGAAGGTTCTAAATGTACACGTGACGCGTAGAGGTCAAGATTACAGATGGGTCTTCAGCAACCCATGCTTGTCGTAAGAGGCGACTAACGGAATCGGGACGTCAGGCTCGCTGACTTGGTTGATGCATGTAATCAGAGTATATGGTCTCTGATGTAATCGTATCCCAAATGCGAAGATCGATGCCCATGATGTCAATCACTAGATTGACTGGTCCAGACACGATTATTTACAGATGGCCGTCACACACGTTGAATATTCGTATTACGAAAAACGCACCTCCCATGTTGGCAACCCAACCCCAATAATAAGGGACTAGTTCGTCAGTAGGAAAATGAGTGAGTGAGTTGGGTTTAACGCCGCTTTTTTAACATTATTCCAGTTATATCGCGGCGTGTCAGCTTAATGTGGGAGGAAAGCCCGAAGTGATGCAAGTCTTAGACCTTTACCACTTCGGTGAAACCCACGAGCACGGGTATGGTGCTGACAAACCTAGAAACATAATAGGGGTGAACTGGGATTCGAACCCACAAACATAGGTTTCTGGCGTGTCCAGGGGACGCAACTCTGCACAGCGAATCGCGGCGCCCTAGACGACTGGGCCACCCGTGCCCCGTCAGTAGGAAGGGATACAACTGGATGTTGGGAATGAATTATGTGATATGATCATGACGTTCTTTATTATTCCAACGTTCTACATTTCAGAATCTGTTCGACAAAAAAATGTCCAGCAAAGGGAAAACTCCCTGGATTGAATACAACGGAGAGCAAGTCCCAGACTCCGAATTCTGTATAGAATACCTCAATGCCAAGTTTAATGTGGATCTGAACTCCAAATTTAGCCAATCAGACAGAGCCATAGGTAGAGCGTTCCGAAAACTGGCAGAGGAAGATGTCTATTGGTACGTTTAACATAATGTATTTTAACAGTAGTTTCGATAGTCGTAATTTATTGTTTAAAGGTATTGATATTGCCTGCAGTGTTCTAAAACAAGTCAAGGCAATGACCTGGCTAGATACTTATAGAAACAAATTCTATTTCCGCGTGTTCCAAATCGCAGCAATGATATTGACTGGATACCACGGCGGTAAAAACATGAAGTGCAAGAAAAGTGGCAGTTACAGTCCAATTACAAGACGATGGCGGTTATTGTCTAAGAAAGACAAGTGCTACCACAATTTGTTTGTCGTGCACAATTCTTTTCACATTGATTTTTTTCTGAGGATATGTGTCAGAAGTAACCCGGAAATAGAAATTATATATGTTTTCTCATCTTTTATTCAGGTATATTGGTCTTTCAAGATGTGTGTATGATAGGCACAGGACTATATTCTCTCGGCTTGGTCTAAGATGGCTGATAAGAAAAATATTAGAGCGGAAGGCGTTGACGAGCGCATGGCATCATGGGATAGGACGGCACTCAGAGACGGAAGTGACGCACATTGCAGTTGGAGACTTGAAGGCTCTGTCCGACTTCATAGGTGAGTCAAGTATGCTGGTATCCGGTCCGTGTTGGACCACCATTCATCCATGGTCATTGGTGCTTTGTTTGTTTGTATGTTTGTTGTTTAACGCCACACTCAGCAATATTCCAACTATATGACGGCGTTCTGTAAATAATCGAGTCTGGACCAGACAATCCAGTGATTGACATCATGAGCATCGATCCACGCAATTTGGATACGATGACATGTATCATCACTCACTCACTCTGCATGTCTTACAGGTGACAAAAGGTTCCTACTCGGAGACACCCCGTGCCAGGAGGACTGTGCAGTGTTCGGGATCCTGGCCCAGGTGGTGTGGCAGATGCCCGGATCAGACGGAGAGAGAGCAGTTAACGGTAACACATACACAGCAAGCATGTCAGCGTGTACAACCTCCTTTATCCAATGCTATCTGTTTTCATAACATTCGTAATCACCCGATTCGCTATTTAATGAAAAGCTATACTCTGACCTTGCATCCACAAGAAATACTGATTACCGTCGAAAGTATGTGTTTGACTTAATGTTGGCAAAGGCCAAGTAACGATATTTTTATAAGACCTTGCGTGTCTATTATACCTGCAATAGATGTCGAACAAATCATTGTGTATGTTTTACTACATTCGGAAAAGAGAATACTCGTATCTCAACTGTGGTGATCCAGCATAAAAGGTGAGTGAGTGAGTAGGGTTTAACGCCGCTTTTAACAGTATTCAAGTTATATCGCGGCGTGTCAGCTTAATGTGGGAGGAAAGCCCGAAGTGATGCAGGCCTCAGACGTTTACCACTTCGGTGAAACCCACGAGCACGGGTATGGTGCTGACAAACCTAGAAAAATAATCGGGGCGAACCGGGATTCGAACCCACAATCATAGGTTTCTGGCGTGCCCAAGGGACGCAACTCTGCACAGCGAATCGCGGCGCCTTAGACGACTGGGCCACCCGTGCCCCCTCCAGCATAAATAGAGGATATTATATGAGTGTTCATGTCATACTATGTTTACGACACGAGTGTATGACATGAACACTCTTATAATGTTCTATTTATTACCGAAGAAGATGTCTATACAGAGACGAATTTTAGAATTCAATCGCAACAGCAGCGGAATTATAATTTGTATGATGACGTCAACAAATCTTCAGCTATGACGTCGTTTCTAATGTGACGTCATTCCGACCTCACGTCACCATAAGATTCGAATGACGTCAACAATGCCGTCCGGATGACGGAAACAATACACTGTTCTCTCGTGACGTGATGTGACCCAAGCTAGGGCACATATGATTATTATGAACACCGATATGTTTGCCCTCGTAGGTAAAAAATGATCTTATTACCCACTCGGTGATCATATAGGTGGTGAGATACTAAATCCGTGCTTGACACGCGTGCGTACAAGGTTGTTCTCGTTTTATTCGTTTTGATTGGATAACCGTGACCTCTGTCACACCGGAACTATATTTTTTCAATCATAAAAAAACCGAGACGTCATTCACTTTCACAAATCTTTACGAGACAGAACTGAAGGAATCTCATGAAAATGAAACATTTACAACACTTTATTAAACCAAAGACGATAGTCACAAGCATCAAATTCGCTTTGCATTCTATATTAGTATTGCATAGAGGTACAACAGACATTATATAATCTAGCTACATCCATTTGCAATGTACGACTACCGATCGATAGATCGAGAGTCCCTGTAAGCGCGACGCACCCGACCACTTTCGCGACTTCCAATTTGATTTAACGTAAAAGGACAAGCGTGGTGAAATGATGTCAATCTAAACTATCTGGACAGATATCTTCACTTACGGTGTATGCTCTGGTTGTGCCATCAGTGTCCCCTTCGAAGCGTATTTCGTGGCGCTGTTCGTGAGGGTTGTTCATGAATGAACGTACACGACTGCACGACCAGATCAGTAAAAGTGAACAGTTCCAATACAAATCCTTCGAAAAATCCTTGGAAGTTTGCCTGACTTCTTATTTTTTTGGCCCAAAACATCCCAAATGTAAACAATAACATTCCCTACTTCTAGCGTAAAACCCCAGTGGGTGGATCACGGTTGTCTTTCCTTATTCCGATGGTGACCTTGCCCTTTGTTCTAAGCTGTCACTGACATGCAAGCAGACCTGAGTTTGTTGATTTTAACCTCCTCAGTATTTAGGGTCGTTCAGTTAACATGAATGTCTTTGGAGTACACTCTGATTTCCCTCTTCCAAAGTGTACGGGCATGATATAAATTCAGATGATAGATTAAGGAAATCGAACCATTTTGATTGAACAGCCGGAACCCCCGCGGTGCGAATGACCGACTCGGTCCGATGCTCATAGTGCGGCGCTGATTGATTTTTTAAATTTTCTTATAAATGTCCTGCGCACAAACAAGAATGCGCTAGAATTACCATAAATTGAAGAATAGCTTTAAAAAAGGACCTTGAGCGTCGGTGCTGTTATGTTTGCACAAACAACAGCAAAAACATATTGTTTATGCGTATGCATTAAAATGTCAACAATGCCCATATTTGGGCATATATCAATATTCATGCACAATCAGTTTTTTGCAATCGGTTTCAGTTTGGTCTGACAACGAACGAAAGTTGTTTTGCATTTACACTTAAATAATAATAAATACATATTTAACGAGGGTAATAAATAAAATACCACACTCATTTTCGTTAGATACCATTTTCACGAAACTCGTGAACTTTATAGGATATCTGACAAATCGAAGGCGAATACTTAGAAAGTATTCTCTGTATCTGAAATTCCGACTCGACGCTATTCTAATGGCTATACACCTACTAACACGGGCAACACGTAAACTTGTTACCTTAGTAAACTGTTTCGATAAGGCTGAGTAAATATTGATTTACACCGCTTTAAGCAATAGTACTGCTGTATCACGGCGGCAGACATCAATAATATACGTCACACATCGGACCAGTTCGGGGAATTGACCGCGGGCGTTCGTCGTGCCGAGGGAACAGCGTTAGAAACTGGCACTTGTCCTATAGCCTTGCCAAACTGCCCAATAGTTAAGGTATCATAAGGACTAGTAGACATTTGCCCTTTTTGAGTGTTTTGCTATATGTTAACATTACCATGGGTACAATGTGTGAAACCCATTTCTGGTGTCCCCCGCCGTGATATTGCTGGAATATTGCTAAAAGCGGCGTAAAACCATACTCAGTCAGTGTTAACATTACAGTGAGTGAGTGAATATGGTTTTACGCCGCTTTTAGCAATATTCCAGCAATATCACGGCGGGTTAACATTACAAGGACTAGTGGACTGAAACTGTTAGTTTCTACCGCTGGGGAACCGTTTTACCACGAAGCTACCACACCGACACGATTGTCCTCGATTTTAATGGAACTTAACTAATGAGACACACCACTCTCTTTCCAGAAAAATACGCCAACCTGAGACGATACTGCGTGAGAATAAAAGACAAGTATTGGCCGGATTGGGATGACAGGGTATTGGAAAGTGTATGACGTCAACATCAGACAATTGACGGTGTGAATGACGCCCAATTATAAATGATGGATCTAACCATCTTGGTGTTCAGACGCTGTACGCGTAAGATATTGTGCTTCACAGCGGATGTCTAATAAAGGCCGGTAGTATTGTCGAATGTTGCTGACAACAGTACCAGCTGATGATGCTTCTGGCGAGGACCTAATGAGTGTTTCTGACAAAAGAACAGCGGAAACAGTCGCAGTGAGGACAGTAGACTGACTACTATAGCAGTGAAAGCGCTTATCACTGCGCTGGATACAGCGAGATTTATGTGTATATGTTTGATGTAAAAAATGTTGAATGATCTGTATTTTGTTTTAGTGCTTGAAACTTATGTCATGATTGAGAGATCTGAGTGAAGAATACAGTGAAGCCCTGTTTGTCTATGCCGTTTGCATAGGTAATTGTCGTTATTCCACATATTTTATCACCCAGACGTTCTTATTGGTAACGACACCGTACGGATTAACGGGGCTTAACTGTATGAGAATTGTTTGTGTGCTGGTTGTTTATTTTAACACATTTAAGCAAATTATCTTTTTTCGTGAAAAAAACAAAATGGAGGACTCTGTGCATTTACCTGTATTTGTATTCATTTTTGTAAGAAATAAAACATCAACATATTGTAATATGCCTTATCAAAGATAAGTAACTGTCATGTAGTTTGTATTTAAACTGTCGTTATCTACGGCTTTTGTACTAAAAGGATCTGACCAACCAGTCGTCGATAGTGTGAACGTTCTACACCATAGAGGTCCGGCAACATCCACTTATTTCGTTTCCCAGGAGACATCGTTACCACCGTTTTCTGTAATGCACATTTAATTTTAATTAAATGTGGTTTAATACCACTTTGAACAGTATTCCGAGTATATGTCACGGCGTGTCAGCTTAATGTGGTAGGAAAGCCCAAAGTAATGCAAGTTCCAAATTTCTACAACTTTGGTGAAACCCACGAACACGGGTATTTTGCTGACAAACCTAGAAACATAATCGGAGCGGACCGGGATTCGAATCCACGATCATAGGAGTAGACCCGAAAACCCGCACAGTGATCGGAACGGAGTGCTCTGAAAGCCCTCACAAAATGGCCACAACGGAGTAGAATCTCGGACAAAATGGCCTCGACGGGGTGCCCCTGGCCTGCCTGACAATGACCTCAAGAAAACCCTCACAGAATGACCGCAACTTAGTGCCCTGAACACCCTCATTGAATGACCTCAAAGAAATGCCATTACACAGTTGTTATTCTATCCAGGATGGGTCAGACGTGTGAGTGAGTGAGTGAGTATGGTTTTACGCCGCTTTTAGCAATATTCCAGCAATATCACTGCGGGGAACACCAGAAATGGGCTTCACACATTGTACCCATGTCGGGAATCGAACCCGGGTCTTCGGCGTGACGAGCGAACGTTTTAACCACTAGGCTACCCAACCGCACCTGGGTCGGACGAAATGGGCCGGGATGGGGGTGGTGGGTGTTATGGGAGGGAGGGGAGGAGTGTGCCTGGGACTGTGAATCTGCGTGTGCATTTGTACTAGTCCGGACTAATGCTGATTTCAAGTTCACCATGCCGCAGTTTCACTTGGATACACCACTCAGACACAGCATACCGTCTCCGAACCAGTCTTTTGTTTCATCCCCTTAATGTCGCGCGCCAGGCAGGGTACCATCGAACCATCGACCTTCCGTGGCCCTTGTCAATGTTAATGTCCCCAGTCCCATTCCATACATATGTATTACAGCTGTCCCTGCAGAAAGTTTCTTTGTGTAATTCTCGTACTTCATCCCAAACAACAGCTTCCACCATATATCACGTGGAGTCAGCATGGTAGAAACATAAACACAGACAGAAAACAATTCGAGAACCACAACCTAACCCCCAAAATAAAAAGACCAGGCCTGTTTACCCGCGTCTGGCCTCAAATATATTCATTCCTACATAAGAAGTAGCAGTGTTATTAATAACAATACAAACTTCCGAGTAAAAGAAAGTACACACCCATGTCTGGTGGTTGCTGAAAATGAAACCAACGAGAAACGGTAATTCGATGGTGATGTATTTCATACGGGTATCACAGGTGTGGGTTGAGCCTTAAGTTTGCAGTGTTTCGGCAACTGTTTTCAGTCCAGTAAAGATTTGATGACGTTTGGTCAAGTCTAAGTTTCAAGTGTATAATTTCTGTTGCCCCGCAGTTAAGTTAAACTTTCCACCCAGCCATCACAATCAGAAACAATATGCAGCCAGAATGTCGCTGAGGACCTTGTGGCGCATGTAATCCACAGCGCCTACAGTTTCATTGTAATAATCTAGCTCGTAACACATGGCACACCGGCGATGAGAATTTTTTGAGCACAGAAAGTTTCTCAAAACGTCATCTTGGGAGGTGAATGTCCTCCTCATTTTCTCAAAGAAATCTTCCATCCACTGCCCTCCTTGCAAACCATCTTCAAATTCATCGAACTCAGAGTCGTTCGAACCCGGGGAATGACTTGTCTCCTCGCCAAGGCTTGAATAGTATTGTTTTGCCCGGATTGTGTACGTTTCGCCAATGGGAGGAAGGATGTGTGTGTAATGGACATTCCCCGAATTCAACACAGGTCCCAGATAACTGCTCAGAAGGAGGTCGGTCTTTTCAGTCTGTCTGAGGGTTCGTCTCCCCGCGTTGGTCCTGCCGTTACTGGTCTCGCCGCGGACTTCCGGTCTGGAGCTGTACTTTCTGTTACCTTGCTGTTTTCGTGGTGGGTATCCAAGAAGCAGGTTTTGTGAGCTACTCGAAGCAACGAGGCACATTTTGTCAGGATTTATGGGCGGGAGTCGGAGACAGGAGACGCTGGGCTCTCGGCGTCGTTGGTGCATGTCTCTTTCACGCGTTGTGAGTGAAGGGTCTATGTTTGATATCCGTCGATGTCGACTCGGAGAGCGCGACTCAGTGGTGTTGCCGACACCCTCCTCTACACTTCTATCTTTCCGAACACGAGAACTAAAGATGCCTGTCGGGTTGCTCCTTTTGAAAAGATCCATTGCGGCACCTGTTAGGAAAAATGAGTGAAGGAGACTGTGACTTAGCCATGTTAACACTGCCTGAAGAAGAAATATGCCGCATTCATATGTATCCATGTGTGGACTTTAACTCCGGTTTATATGTCGTACCCGGTCAAACACAATATTGTTATATCTATTGTATTTCTTCCGATAATTATATAAAAAACAACTAACACGACCTGCATAAAAGGAGATACTGAAGTTATTATGTTTCTTAGTATTTCACAAGCCAATTTCATTAAAATCAGACCTTAGTTCTCGCTACCGCTAAACAAAGATCTGAGGACATCCCATTAGGGGTCACGTCAGAAAGACCTTTCATCCAACCAATCAGATCATGAAAGTGATAGTCGGAATGTGATTTCTAATCATGCAACCTCGAAAACTTTAACACGGGGTATTCCGAACGATAGTTACGGGCTTAACGACTGAATCCATACAATCTGGACTATCTATTAGCCATTCACAATGTTCTTTTGTTCAGGTTTCAAATTTTAAATCGAGAATTTGTCAAAATAGGTTTCGAAGCGTAGTCACCAATTTGAAATTCGTGCCGTAAAGCACGAGAAAGCTGTCTTCTGATTGGTCATACCATTGGTCGGTCAAAGTTCGCGCAAGGTCGGTCTGACATGACCCGTAATGGGATGACCTCAGATCTTTGTTTAGCGGTAGCGAGAACTAAGATCGGGTTTTAATGTGATTGTTCACAAGCGAAATCATCCACCCGAACAGTTACCTGAAGGTGTATTCTGAATTAAGAGATAGTGAATGAGTATGGTTTACGCCGCTTTTAGCACTATTCCAGCAACATCACGGCGACCAACAACCAGAAATGGACTTCATACTTCGGTGGTACGAGTGACGCATTAATCACGGCTACCCCATGGACCCGGAGTTTTGTTATCCAGCGGTACATTCAACTTTTACATATTTCCTCTAGAATGTAATATAGTATGCACAAATTATGATACTTCAAACATGATAATAAAAGAACCCACCTCAACTCTGCTTCCTATGCAAATTAACTTCCTACGTTCTATTTCATACAAGGGGCAATTAGTGAGTGAGTGAGTGAGTGAGTGAGTGAGTATGGTTTTACGCCGCTTTTAGCAATATTCCAGCAATATCACGGCGGGGGACACCGGAAATGTATGGTGGCCGAGAGGGGACATCGCTTTCTCGCTTTCTCGAGGTGGTGGTGATGTGGGTTTTATCATAAAAGAGAGCTGAGATTTTTCCAGTCGCATTTCAAATTATACATATGGACGGAATGTTGAAATTTTCTCACCATCTACTTAAATATAATTTAACAGTACAGACATATGTGCTTTTATAACAATCCACGTATTTCTGCGTAAAAAAAAAGAATTTGATTGATTTATGGCCCTGTTTAGCTATTGGATCCCCCACCCCCAGGCCAAGTTATCAAAACAAATAGCAAATCACACCGCTCAATAGCGCTGAGTAGTACGTACTTCCTAAAAAGCAATAGTGTTTTCCTAAAATCAACGCTTATATCAATGTTTATTCTGTTTGCGGAGTAGATGTCATCAAAGTGGAAGTCCTCACCCAAGCAATGGTAATACTACCGGATGTCCATTATGTAATTTCTAGTTTTTGGATGACATATTGTTCTCAGTAACCGTAATGTGGAAATAGATAGTTGATTGGTTTTATATTCAAGTTGGTATTTCCGCTATTCAACGTGTTCAGTGAGGCCGTCTTATCAACAGTCATTTATGAGACATAAATGCAAAGTATAATTACCGTATTCGACGTAATAAGCGCCCCGCTCTAATAAACGCCAACGGCGATATTTGCTAATATATTGGCTGGTGAACAATCCCAATTAGCACCCCTTCCGATTGTTTAATGTACACAAGACTTATTTATTCGCGTATAATACGCACACGTTATATGCACACTTAATAATGGGCAATTAAATTCGGGAAAAATATATCTGTCGTACATAAACATTTCAGGCTGTCAGCATAAACCACGAAATTTATCTTTCAACTCAATTTCTTTTCCACCAAAATAATATTCTAATTTAGAGAGCGCCCTGGGTGCTTATTACGTCGAATACGGTAATTAAGTCTACGCTAATTTTTGTGCATTTATAATTAACTCTAACGTTAATTTCAAGATTTACAGTACATACTATTCAAAAGAAGTTAAAGAACACCCGATTCCTTCATTTGACTATGGTTAGTCATTAGATGAAGCGATAGAGCGAGAAAGCGACATTTCCCATAATGCCGTACATTAAAACGGTTTTTGCTGATATTTAGTTATCCATTCCTGTAATTCTCACCGCTATTTTGCCTCTTATGATTAGATTTTTTAAACATCTTGTAGTAGATAAATATGTTACAAAATACACACGTAATTTTTTCTCGTTTAGCTTGTATATTTTCTTGTAGTGTAATTCCTCTATCAATCTTAAAACTGATAAAAAGGAGATCATATATTGACAAATAATTGTCAGTTTTATTAGCCAGTTTGTATTGTTTGCAACGTCCAAAGAATTATTTTTTTCGGTAATTAGAAACTGCATGTACACAGTTATGTTTCCCTTACAAAATACAGATGAATTATAAGATATATGTCTCTACCGTAAGTCACATGTACGACTTTCGAGAGCGTCATTAACCCGTAACCCCATTCCTTGGACAATAGAAATGAAATGCGTTGTAAATATGTTTTAAAAACAACTCGTTTCTTATAATGACTTTCGATCAAACTGTCTTCGGGAATTAAATTTAATGCTAAAGTGCTTGTAAAATAAAGTTTAACTTTCCCGACAGGAGAAACTAGATATCCAATTATAGCATAGGCTCAGGCAGGAATATACATATTTATGTAACAATTCTCTATCCATTTAAACTGTATGGTTAACAATTGTGCGTTCTGATGTGAGTTATGTTGTTATCTACTACTTTATTACACAGACAATGAGTCGGACACACACACACACACACATACATAACTTTGACAAAACTATACTTAAGATATACATAACATATTACAATGATAGCTGTTTTAATATATGTTATAGATAATCATAGTAATGCATTTCATATTGTTATCAACCTTAACTATGTGGCCACACTAATTATGTCTCTCCATATGTGTAGTTTACACAAGTACACATATCAACTGTGGTAACGCCACAGCGATGGGGGCAGTGGGGTAGCCTAGTGGTTAAAGCGTTCGATCGTCAAGCCGAAGACCCAGTTCGATTCCCCACATGGGTACAATGTGTGAAGCCCATTTCTGGTGTTACCCGTGATATTACTGGATTATTGTTAAAAGCGACGTGAAACCATTCTCACTCACTCACTCACTCACTCACTCACTCACTTATCAAATTACTATATGCAAGTACATATATTTGTAGATTTGCATAAGACAAGAAACACAATTCAAGTTAAACATACATCAAATGTCAAAAAGAACATTTACGGACACACTTATGACACACTGTAACATCATATACTACCGAAAACAAGTTATAGAACACCCACAATTATAAGATTGTATTTTTGCAAAACAATCAGCCATGACTAATTAACCATAGTCTTCTTAACTTCTTTTGAAAAGTATATATTTAGATTTTAACCTGATTTATTTAGAGCGTATTGCCATGATCTTCCACGCGCTTTCGGCGTGATGGTCAGATACAACTGAATAGGGCCATAAATAAATCAATTACATTTTACGCAAAAATCGGTGGATTGTTTTAATTTAAAATAACCTACGTCTGTACAGTTAAATTATGTTTTAAGTAAATAGTGAGAAAGTTTCAACATTACCTCCCAATTGCAGCAGATATCACATGCGGCCCCTGTAGTGGTCAAGAGGGGATATTGCTAAACCGCGAGAAAGCGAGAAAGCGATAGAGCGATAAAGCGAAAAAGCGAAAAAGCGATAGAGCTAGAAAGCGATAGAGCGAGAAAGCGATAGAGCGAGAAAGCGATAGAACAAGAAAGCGATAGAGCAATAGAGCGAGAAAGCGAGAAAGTGATAGAGCGAGAAAGCGAGAAAGCGATGTCCCCTCTCGGCCACCATAGAAATGGGCTTCACACATTGTACCCATGTCGGGAATCGAACCCGGGTCCTCGGTGTGACGAGCGAACGCTTTAACCACTAGGCTACCCGACCGCCCAGGGGCAACTAGTAGTACGTTATTCCTCTTCAGGTACTAAACACACTGGATACATGACTTCTAGATTGTTTATATCATCTCTACGACATTAATTAAAGACGCTTTATTATTTTCTTATTATCTTTCTTTCGTGTAGGTTAGTGATATGTCCATGTATAATTCACATTCAAGCAAAGATTTAAAAGAAGAATAAAATTCTAATGGTTTTGATGTAACAAGTATACATTGCCAATCTTGGGAAAAACAACCATTCAACCTTCGTTTGAATATGTTGAAGAATGATCTAACATCTATCACCTCTTGTGACATCCATACTATTCCAAATCCATATCGAAAGAGCAAACCTTTAACATGTGTTGGCCAGTTGCTGTAGCGTCTGCAGCATGTTTTCTTAAACATTAAATACCACTGATATGAATATGTATACGTTACACCATATGTGACACTTTTTGATAATTTATAACTCATTTTTAAAAGAAATTTACCAATTTAATGTGTAAACATTCGATTGATTTTCGCGCCGTAAAACCCCAAATTTCATTTCCATAAGTTAAGAGAGATACAACCTTTTTATCAAACATTTCGAAACTAACTTTAAGCGGGATGTATTTTCTTATCATTTACTTTAAAGAAATAAGTATTTACTAGCCTGTTCGGAAAGGATCCTTGTTGTTCTATAGTCCAGACAACTTTTGGAGTAATCATTAAACCTAGACATTTTAATCATTGTCAACAGTTATGGCATTACCATTATACAAACCGAGAAATGGTCACCATGTTTATATCTGATTCATCCATGTTAATTTCCTTTCCCCATTTAACGACTACGTATATGGCAAATCTAGTCTATTTTGCAGCTGCTACCACTACAATTCGATCATCTGCAAATAATTATGTTTGGATATTAAACATTTCTTCAGATATGAAGATCCCTTTTTAGAGATAGGTGAATCAAACCTCCAATTCTTGGGGCTGGATACATCTGATTTTAAGAAAATAGTTAAATATGGAACTAAGGAAGTTTTAATACAGTCACATACTCTGCGGGAATACCATCGCTGCCTGGAGCTTTACCTGGGTTTGGTTTTTCTTTTGTTTTTTAAACTTCAGATTCAGATTCCGTAAAACACTACAAAGATTGTCAGGTTGTTCTGAACTTGTCTCACAAAACTCTGGGTTGTGATTTGTAAGATAGTAATCCACTTCTTCGGAAAAATTAGGACTAGACACTTCTTCTTGGTTTTCACCATTGTATAAATTGTTAGAATAATTCTCCCATATATTGAGCTATGTTGTTTTTTGTAAACTTTCTATTGGAGAACCTCTTAATCAATCCCCAACATCTTTTATAGTCTCCTTCCACAGCAGCCTTAGATAAATCGTTGCAAACATTAATTCGTAATAACAGCAGTTGCAAATGACAAAGATGCTTCAACTGGTTTTTTGGCTTCTTTAGATAACAAGAAGCTAAAGTTCGTAGAACATTTACGAAATAAATACAACTTACAATACTTTCCTCTTTTCAAAATTTCACATTCCAAATCAAACCACATATTTACTATTTTTGTTATATACCTGTGAAGATGTACATTTGCACGGTCCACCATGTACTCTTTATGTATTAACAGTTCATCAACACCAGTATCAATACGTACATATACTTTTATATTAAAATGCATTTATCGGATGGTCGGCGCTTCACACTTCATCTCTGGCACCATCTTTCCACCATTATTTTAACCTGGTGTAGCACTTTCGGATTCAACAGAGGTAGGAATACAATTGTACAATTCTACAATTGTCCTAACATAACTGAAATAGGCAGACCGTCAGACATTGTATTGGATATAACAGTAAAATATTCGGTATATTGGAAAAGTGACTGCGACATATTATGTAGTGTACTGCAACCATTATGACCTATACAGGTAAAGTCAATGGAAGCACTACAAAATATGGATATCAATCTGTTTGCATAATTCTGAAGTCTTCTATAAGAGTAAGTGAGTTAGTTGGGTTTAACCCCGCTTTTAACAGTATTCCAGTTATATCACAGCGTGTCAGCTTAATGTGAGAGGAAAGCCGAAGTGATGCAGGTCTTAGACGTTTACCACTTCGGTGAAACCCACGAGCACGGGTGCTGACCAACCTAGAAACATAATCGGGGCGAACCGGGATTCGAACCCACTATCATAGGTTTCTGGCGTGTCCAAGGAACGCAACTCTGCACAGCGAACTGCGGCGCCTTAGACGACTGGGCCACCCGTGTCCAGCATATTTTCTAATATTTCTATACCATTAAAGTGTTCCTGCGATTCAGTTCTTATACAGAACAAAACACAAAATAATATATATATTAACAACCAGTCCCTGTGTACATGTTTTAATACGCGTGAGGAATGATCATGCCCAAAGACCGACACACACCCACTATATCTTCCAGCGCGATTCTGTTTCTTACTCACCGACTGGAAACACGTACATCCGGGAGATCGTCACTGCTTTTGCCCAGGTCTCTCGGAAACCAGTTATATGACAATTTGTCCAAAACTGCAGAACATAAGGATTTATGAGCTTTTAAGAAATACTACTAAATGAAATGTTTCAACACATCACCGAAACACGATTATCCTTTGAGACAAGTAGAATAAACATTATGTGGATAATAAATCATTCTCAAAAACTAAACGATTTGCAATTTCAGAAAAAGAACCAACGCCAATCATGTCAAACCTTTGTACACTATTCCATATGACAAAATTAGGGGCACTTGTCACTGAACGTCGTGACCATAGGTTTTGTTACCCCATTTCTCATAAAGGTTGAAGATAAAGTGTCAAATTAAAAGCAAATGTCATCTGAAGTGTACTTAGAAAACAATATGTGAAATGCTTGACCTCGCCACAGATTACATCTATGTGAAAGTTTTTTGGGTTTTTGGTTGTTTTTTTTGTTTTGTTGTTGTTGTTGTTGTTGGGTGGTTTTGGGGGGGATTTTTTTTTTTTTGGGGGGGGGGGGGGGGGGCATTTAAGCAAGAATTAGGCATCCCCCATCTCTGTACGGCGAACTGCGGTGCAATAGATGACTGGTCCCCAATATATTTACTGAGATCATTGCGTCAACACATCTGATGGAAACATTAATTTGACATGGAATTCGGTGTGTAACTCAAGACAGGGAATCTGTCCTCCTTCCAAGAGTTCACACTGAATGCCAGTGGAGGGCAAATGAGAAAGGTGAGAACATCATGGAATTTGTTCCAGGCAATATTGGGAGAAAATACTTATTTTGCCTCAAGTTTTACACAAAAACACCTTTGTTCACAAGATGGTATGGGCAATAAAGTGATGTGAGTACAAAACAGTTTTTGGGGGGTCTTACCGAGAATATAACCAGCTTTGATTCACTGATAAATGAAACATGAAAAATATACAGTCGGGGTGAGCAGCTAGATGTCGCCCCTCTGAAACTCTTGACATATTTTAGGAAATAAACAGGATCGTTAGTTATAATCAAGGCAATGCATTTATACATTCAACTGATCCCAATATGGAATTGTTTCTCCACCCGAAAATCAGTATATCATTTTGATGTCCTTATTAAAAAATGTGACCGTAATATTCAGCTGGAAGGATTTGGTATATGCACAAATAACACTGCAACATTTTCGTCAAAGTAAACGATACATACCTTGTCAGCATTCCCAGTTGTAATGACGATGTGAAGCGCATATCTCGGGGTCGCGTCGTCAGTCAATAGTTGCGTTTAGGCGAAACGAATTAATAATGTCCATGTCCCCGTTCATAACTGATATATCATGTTTGATATAAAACATGATATTTAGTGGGAGCTGGGATTTTATCGGAAAAAATAAATTGTCCTAGACAAAACCTTGATTATAATAACTACGATTGTCTGACAATAAAAATATATGGTTACAAGGCCTTTTTTTTTGGTAAGAATAATAATATTTAGGCTCATAGTTCAAATTAAAGAACTATCTGGTTTTGCAGATGTAGATGAAAAAACCTCTACATACAAAATCCATCGTAAATGGTCGGTTCCTAAGTATGTAGGCTTAGTTCCTTATTCTAATGTGAGTAAAGAGCCACATGACCATTTAAGATTTAAGATGTTGACGATTTGCTGCGTACAGGAATACATGAACAGACCGCCTAAACGCAACGTCAATGTAACAAGGTGTTTAATTAAGGCAACGATGAAGCCGACATAGCCACAATAACATTCATGGCTCGATCATATCGTATATATCCGCTCTCCTCATTATCGCCCGAACACTCACCAGGTGGCGATGTGGTATTAACATGTCTGCTAGTCGATGTAATTAGCTAGGGATCTCTTCGACAAAGGAACATGTACAATTTATACATATCCACGACGCTTTACAGGTATCATTAATTCGTTGAAAATATTTTTAATTCAATTTGAGATATCTTTAATTAAATTCAAGATATCATCAATTCTCGATTACTACACGAGTGTCTGTTAGATACCATTGATCTTACAACGAGTTGTTTCAAAACGTGTCTAACGAGCGAAAGCGAGTTAGATACGCTTTGTAACAACGAGTTGTAAGATCAATGGTATCTGACAGGCACGAGTGCAGTAATCTGTTTCTTACACACCCTTAAATCGCACCTTTAAAGCATCGAATCGATGCATTTTGTCTATTCTCATGATCGCAGTAGCGCATTAATACATTTGGTTGGTTGGTTTGTTGTTTAACGCCGCACTCAGCAATATTCCAGCTATATGACGGCGGTCTGTGTAAATAATCGAGTCTGGACCAGACAATCCAGCGATTAATGTCATGAGCATCGAGCCACGCAATTGGGATCAATGACATGCATCAACCAAGTCAGCGAGCCTGACCACCCGATCCCGTATTTTACGACAAGCATAGTCACCTTTTACGGCAAGCATGGGTTTCTGCATGAAGACCTATTCTACCCCGGAGTCTTCACGGGTCGCATTTAGAAGATAAATACTATATGTGTGTCTATTTCCGGGATTTTATCGAGTATTTGCATCTTGGAAATTCATCTCGAGACCCGAAAGCGTTAGCAAATGTCAAAGAATGGTTACGGTTCATTAAGAAAGTATCCTAATACGTGAAAATCGACTTGTTTTTGCGTAGTTATCCTTTGTTTACATTGGTTGTACGGCTCCACGTGCTGTCATCGAAGCCCCACGGAGAGCTAGCGATACGGTCACTTTGATGTATAAATATATATTGCCATGCAACTCTCTGTCGCAGTTGTAGTATCTATATAATTATGCAAAACAATATGTAAAGCGCCCCCAACTACTTGCATTGGTCCGATTTATACTGATTTCTGAAAAAGCGCGTTTGTTTACAAACAAGAGAAAAGTCCGATCACGTGATATGCAAATTAGCCTGTAGCAGTGGTGTTATGCTGAGTCACCACTGCGCCGGAGTGTGTGACTTACACTCAGGAAAGTAGTCCGTCATCATCTGACCTCAGGTCATCACCATGGAGTAGCCAATCACGGGCCTGGAATTCGATCTCACATATGTTTGATACCAGTTATCTCAAATTGGTTTCTCACCCACGGGTATGTAAGAATTACTGATATCAAAAATCAAATTAAAGATAACATTATTAATTTTGAAGATATATTTATATCAACTGTTGATATCTGTTATTTAATTTAAGTAACATGAAGGAACGTCAAATGAATTATTCCGGTCCTCAAAAGGGCAGGATATGTTTTACAGATATCTTCAAATACATAATTATCCTTAAATTCCTCCGGTTCCAAATGACGCACAACTTGCGCACGAACATTCTGTACAACACGCCAAGCAATTGGCGGAAGAGCTGCAAAAATTGGACCATGCAGTTTCAGTACTTAGAATCAAATCTAAAATCGTCAGCTGGTTGACAATAAACAAGTTGTTATTTCCTCGTATTTTGGTAAATAATTTTTACCCGAAGTTCCAGTTCTCGGGACTGCAGTCTCAGACACCCAATATAAATACTGGGGAGAGTGATACTGGTTTGGTTTGTTGTTTTACGCCGCACTCAGCAATATTCCAGCTATATGACGGCGGTCTGTAAATAAACGAGTCTGGACCAGACAATACAGTGATTGACATCATGAAGATCGATCCACGCAATTGGGATCGATTACCTGCATCAACCAAGTCAGCGAGCCTGACCACCCGATCCCGTTAGTCGCCTTTTACGACAAGCATAAGAGTGATACTGATAGGCTGAGTAGAGTTCATTACTGTTTACAAACTGCTGAAGGAATGAGTGATGGTTTATTAGATAATAATCAAACTAAACAACAGCTCTTCCTTTTTTCTATTTTCAATTACATAAACCACAAACCGTTTATACTTTCTTTTTCCCCTCAGTTTATAATGAATAAAACGAAACAATTATCATTTATTTCAGCAAATCCGTTGTTCAGTGTATAAATCATGAACGAGTTGTATGGGCGGAGGGGTAGCTCAGGCGATTGCGTGCTCAATCGCTAGGCAGAAGACCCAGGTTCGAATCCCCTCATCGGCTGATGATAGTTGATGTCGCTGTCTGTTAGTGATCCCAAGTTAACTTAGCAGACGTAAAACTAACCATCAACAACCAACGATATACGATGTAAATTGTTTGAAGTCGGAGGGTGTTGTTGAGCTCACGAAACATTGACACTTTCAGTCAACACACATTGTGAAATGAATACCGACAAGAACCTGGGGTGAGGCGAAAAGGGGTTTAACGTCGCGTCCAATATTATTGCACTTATACAGCGACGTGCATGCACGTACGTGGGGGTGTGTAGCTGCTTGTACTAGTTCGGACTGACGATTTATAGTGCCTGCCCACTGAGATACCATGGCGCAGTTTAACAGTGTATACCCCACTGAAACACAGCATACCGACCCCGAGCCGACCAGTCCTTATTTTAGCCCCTTAATGCCGAGCGACAGACAGGGAAACAGCAAGTACCATCTTTTAAAGTCTTTTTGTATGACGCCGCCAGGAATCGAACCGTGGACCTTCCGCTCTCCGGGCGGATGCTCTACCACTAGACCACAGAGGCGGTCGAACCTGTTGAGAAGTGTTAGCACAGCCCGCCAGGAATAGAAACATTACCTACATGGAAATACAGGAAGATATCAATAAATAAGCGGAAGTGTTTATTAATCTTGATGACAGCCACAAATTCAGATATCAATACAGAATATGAGGATATCTGTTTATAATTGCAATATATCTGAAATTGAATTACTCATGTATCTTTTATTCATATCAATCAAATTTAAGATATCAGCAATTCTGTAGCTGTGGGGCTGCTTCACTGGGGAAATATTATCATATTGTCGATGGGCTGCCACACCAGGCACAGAACAGAAGCTGTGGGACTGCTTCACAGGGGAAATATTATCATATTGTCGATGGGCTGCCTCACCAGGCACAGAACAGAAGCTGTGGGACTGCTTCGCAGGGGAAATATAACCATATTATCGATGGGCTGCCTCACCAGGCACAGAACAGTAGCTGTGGGACTGCTTCACAGGGGAAATATAACCATATTATCGATGGGCTGCCTCACCAGGCACAGAACAGTAGCTGTGGGACTGCTTCACAGGGGAAATATAACCATATTATCGATGGGCTGCCTCACCAGGCACAGAACAGTAGCTGTGGGACTGCTTCACAGGGGAAATATACTGTATATAGTCATTGAGCTGCCTCACCAGACACAAAACAAGAATCCTTTGAATACACCAACCTCAAAACAAATTAGCATGGTAAGAACATGAAGAAAGAGAAACAACGTGGATGTATTTTTGTATATTCTTTATGCACATACTACAAACAATCCAGGAAAATATTTCAAAAAGTCCTACATTAAATAGACCCCCTGCATTACATTCTACACAATAAATGAGGGCTGGTAAACTTACCCTTCCAGCTGGGAGAAGGTAAAGAACAATAGACCACGCATGCGTCTTTTTCACAAGGAGACATATTATCACATACTATCAGTATCCACGGTGTGGTGCACGCAAAACAACAATGTCCACTACCCTATTTCTTCGATTAAATGTCTGGGCATATGCTTCTTTCAAACATTCTTTACCGCTCATGTTTAATGGAGGCCCGGTGTTTAATCTAGGCCCAGAGTTAATCATTTCAATTTCCGACTAAGGATTTACTCAGACCCATCTTCGGTACCATAGTTTGAAAGGTCTGTTTAGTGTATTTAGTGGAACAATGTGATGTACACATATTGTTGTCCAAATACAAAATGGTATGCCTTATGAAATTATTTGGGATTGATCAATAATAATTGAGAGAATTCCATGCATAATAACTACCCAGCTTTTATTGTGTTCAGATACTTCGTTCCCCAGTGTTTAATCGGGGAAATACGGTTACGAACAAAATAAAAAAACAAGAGTTTTCATTAGACCGAAATAAATTAAAACATAAAAGTGGAGATAACCTGCAAAGGTGTGAAAAGGGAAAACCTTCTGATATCAACAAACCCTTCATGTTCATAATCCTATTCTCTGCAGGCCATTGTCACTGCAGCATACGCTGGTCATGACGAAGGCCCGGGTTCGATTCCCAACATGGGTACAATGTGCAAAGCTCATTGCTGGTGTCCCCTGCAGTGATATTGCTGGAAAATTGCAACAAGCGGTGTAAAACCATACTCACACACTCTTCGACAGAAGACTACTTTAACAAATAAACAGATTGAAGTAGATGTAATTCTGTTGCTGGTATCCATTCACTGGTTAAGATCATTTAGACATGGCCACTAATGCAAAGACTAGTGATAACCCGGAGGGCTTTACCTTCCCAAATCTAATCCAAAATGAGCTGTTGACTAGCTGAATAAACTCATGATGTCTATCCCCAATAGTTTAAGCAACTTGAGTGATAAAAGTAGACACAATTTATTGATAACAACTTCTTTAATACTGTCAAGACGACGTTTCAGTATAGATCCTTATACCATTGTCAAGCTGCCAGTATTAAAGAAGTTGTTATCAATAAATTGTGTCTGCTTTTATCACTTTTATCGGTATAGATCCTTATCCTGTCAGCTTGACAACGGTATAAGGATCTATACAGAAACGTCGCCTTTTCAGTATTAAAGAAGTTGGTATCCTTAAATTGTGTCTACTTTGTCATCCGTCATCTGTCGAAGTAATGCCTATCAAACAATTCATTTGTGTGATAAAGGTCACACATATTTACAGAAAACAAACGCATCCTCAAAACTAAATAAATGTATACATGCTTTCTCACTCACAGATTCTCCACATATGTCAGTTTTTCAAGGTCTGACTAAAATGATACACTATTAAGAGACTTTTTAGTGTACTTAAAGAGACAGAGTGCTGACAGTGTCCACAACCTGTGACGCAATCCATATATATTTAATGCCTCCATAAAATGTCCATGTGGGAAACAAGCCACACTTTTGAAATCAATGACTTCTACTGAAAGAAAAGTACAATAATTGAAAATGTTATTCTCAAAATCAAATTGAAAATGCAAATTTAATAATCATTGGATAACCATCATTCGTTTGAACCTTTACCAAGAGGGATGGGAATTCATTTACAAAGAGATCAAGGAACATTTGATTCTTTCATATTGCTTCAGTTAATCTGCCATGCCATCAGGTGTTCTGCCTTTGCACAGTGTCATGTACAGTAAGCCTATGGGCTAAGTGACAAAAAGTGAGTGAGTGAGTATGGTTTTACGCCGCTTTTTGCAATATTCCAGCAACATCCCGGTAATTGGTAATGTATGAAACATTGTACCTATGTTGGGAATCGAACCTGGGTCTTCGGCATGACGAGCGTACGCTTTAGCCACTAGGCTACCCGACCGCCCAAGTGACAAAAAGAGAAGTGTGCATACACTGATCTTGTACACCCTGACAGTACCACCTGGTATATCTGCAGGTTTCGCCTTTCATAGAAGCAGGTTTCGGATTGATGGGTCAGACGCCGCTTTTAACAGTATTCCAGTTATATCGCGGCGTGTCAGCTTAATGTGGGAGGAAAGCCCGAAGTGATGCAGGTCTAAGACATTTACCACTTAGGTGAAACCCACGAGCACAGGTATGGTGCTGAAAAACCTAGAAACATAAACGGGGCGAACCGGGATTCGAACCCACAATCATAGGTTTCTAGCGTGCCTAAGGGACACAACTCTGCACAGCGAATCGCGGCGCCTTAGACGACTGGGCCACCCTTGCCCCCATCAGACAAACAGAGTGTCACTGTATGTAAGTATGGTTTTGCTACAAATTTGACCACATCTTCTCACATCCCTCCAAATTATGCAAAAACTCTAATCTCATGTTGTCATGGTTATAAGGTAGTGCTGTGTGCGTGTGCGTGCGTGCGTGTGTGCTCATGTGTGCATGTGTGTGCATGCATGACTCCATGCATGCTGCACTCAGCAACATTCCTGCTAAATGACAGCCGACAATAAATAATCAAATCAGGACCAGACAATCCTGTGATCTCAAATGCTAAGTAACATTCCACACCAATGGGGTATGATGACACACTATCTACCAGGTCAGTAAGTCTGACAGCCCAATCCATTAATCTCCTCACATGAACAACACAGGTTGGTTGGGCAATCTTTACCCCAGAATATACCAAAGTAATAAGCAAATGGTGTCTACAATTTACTTTCCTTTGTTTGAAAGCAAGAGACAGAGGACAGACTAATGTGTCAGCGATGTCCAACAATCAAAAGTTAACTAGATTTTCATGTTCACATAAACCTGACATTTGCACAGCTTAAACAATCTTCCTGAGGCAAGGGAATTAACTGACTATGAAAGTCAAGTTTCCACCCTTACTAAACTAGGCTGGGCTTATGAAGTTATATTTTGGCTGGTCTAATGAGTTTATGCATAGTCCAAACGAAATCGATATCCGGTTCGAAAAAGCCCAGTGCAGATTTTTGTCGACTGCAAGATTTGCAAAGCATGTGTACCACCCGCTCAGCATCAACAGATATATTCCAAATCTTTCCATGTTTCTAATAAATGTGCTCACGTGATTTGATGCACTTCGTGAAGAAAGACCCGTTTTATTAATATACAGATTTGGATTATCAGTCAGATAGTGGGTGCCGCCATCTTGTTTGGAGCAAGTGCAAGTGATATGAAGGTGGAATCTGATTAGTCAATAGGAGGGTCATAGAAGGGACATAACTTTTAATCGCCACTGGTGGGGCAACGATCGAGCCCAGAAATTCCAGCCTAGTTTGGCAAGGATGGAAACTGGACTTTTAAAGTCAGCTAACGCCTTTGCCTCGGGAAGATGAGCCTAAACATTTTATCTTTAGCATATTCAGTCTCTCTTCTTTATGGCAAACGTGAAGAGGCAGTCCCATTGAGGTTGTCTGAACTTGGTCAAAATCCTTCATACTGATCACACTAAAAAGATAAAATACTTCTCAACTATACTGCCAATCATGACTGTTTTAGGCCACAAAATGTGATACCAGTACTTATTGGTTCTCATGAAACAGTTTGTCAAAAACCATGGCAACGATTTCCAGCATGAATTCAACTCATTCTGGCTCTCAGTCCAATATCAAATCTGTGCCAAGGGCGGCACATGTAGATCACTATAGATACCCAACTGCACTGGCTCTTCAAAAGTCATTGCCCAAGAACAAAATGGATCTGATTTTTCCAGCTTCATGACGTAAATCATATTTGTCTGTTATCATGGTAACAATGTCTGTCTTACTCAAATGTTCCTGCAATCTGGAAACTTTTCTTTCATATTCATAATGCTGTTTCCAAGTCAAAAGATGTGTACAAAAATAGTGAATTCCCTAAGTCCAGCCAGCGTTACCGCCTCCGCTCCCCTTTCTGAGTGCGCTTCTTCTCTGTGTCCTTCCTGTCCTGGGCCTTAGCCTTCTGGGCCTCGCGGTCCTGCTTGTCCTTCTCACGCTTCTCATCCGAATCCTTCTTCGCTTTATCTCGTTTATCACGCTCCGATTTGTCCACGTCTGTCTTGTTGGTGTTCCGGAACATCAGTTCTGTGACTGTCAAGGGATATAGCTCAGACGAAAGTGCAAGTGAGATGGATTTTTGTGCCAATTTGACAATATTCCACCCACACCATAGTAGGTGACATCAAGAAAGGGATTTAAACATTTTTTCATGTTGGGAATTGAACCCCCGTCTGTAGTGTGAGGAGCCTTTACCACCATATCATGTTTCAACGTATTATACATGTACAAATCAATCCTTTCACTGACATTTAATGATGTAAGCTGTGATACATTTGGGGTGCCAAATGTCAAAGGACAGTTCATCTCAACACCTACTCCACCCAAGTGATCATATTGCTGAACCATCCAAGTGTGGTGATCATGCACACCAGTCAGAACAAAGAGCCTATACTGGAGGATACCCTGCACAGTGAACGGTGGCACCCAGGGCCCCGTTCCACACAGCGATCGTAGCGCTAAGATGACCGTAACTCCTACACTTTAGCATAGGTTTATGACAGTTGTAGCTCTACGATCACTTTGTGGAACGGTGCCCAGGTCCCACTTGCACACTTGCCCCTCCCATACTGTTAACACACCAACAGTTCTAGTTTGTTGTTAACACAGCACACAGCACACAGCACACAGCACACAGCAATCAAATACCCCTCCCATACTTTAACACACCAATAGTTCTAGTTTGTTGTTAACACAGCACACAGCAATCACATACCCCTCCCATACTTTAACACACCAACAGTTCTAGTTTGTTGTTAACACAGCACGCAGCAATCACATACCCCTCCCATACTTTAACACACCAACAGTTCTAGTTTGTTGTTAACACAGCACACAGCAATCAAATACCCCTCCCATACTTTAACACACCAACAGTTCTAGTTTGTTGTTAACACAGCACACAGCAATCACATACCCCTCCCATACTTTAACACACCAACAGTTCTAGTTTGTTGTTAACACAGCACACAGCAATCACATACCCCTCCCATACTTTAACACACCAACAGTTCTAGTTTGTTGTTAACACAGCACGCAGCAATCACATACCCCTCCCATACTTTAACACACCAACAGTTCTAGTTTGTTGTTAACACAGCACACAGCAATCAAATACCCCTCCCATACTTTAACACACCAACAGTTCTAGTTTGTTGTTAACACAGCACGCAGCAATCACATACCCCTCCCATACTTTAACACACCAATAGTTCTAGTTTGTTGTTAACACAGCACACAGCAATCAAATACCCCTCCCATACTTTAACACACCAACAGTTCTAGTTTGTTGTTAACACAGCACACAGCAATCACATACCCCTCCCATACTTTAACACACCAACAGTTCTAGTTTGTTGTTAACACAGCACGCAGCAATCACATACCCCTCCCATACTTTAACACACCAACAGTTCTAGTTTGTTGTTAACACAGCACGCAGCAATCACATACCCCTCCCATACTTTAACACACCAATAGTTCTAGTTTGTTGTTAACACAGCACACAGCACACAGCACACAGCACACAGCAATCAAATACCCCTCCCATACTTTAACACACCAACAGTTCTAGTTGGTTGTTAACACAGCACACAGCAATCAAATACCCCTCCCATACTGTTAACACACCAACAGTTCTAGTTTGTTGTTAACACAGCACCAAGGAATCACGTGCCCCTCCCATACTTTAACACACCAACAGTTCTAGTTTGTTGTTAACACAGCACACAGCACACAGCACACAGCAATCACATATCCCTCCCATACTTTAACACACCAACAGTTCTAGTTTGTTGTTAACACAGCACCCAGGAATCACATATCCCTCCCATACTTTAACACACCAACAGTTCTAGTTTGTTGTTAACACAGCACCCAGGAATCACATATCCCTCCCATACTTTAACACACCAACAGTTCTAGTTTTTTGTTTGTTGTTCACACAGCACTCAGCAATATTCCAGCTATATGACGACGGTCTGTAAATAATCGAGTCTGAACCATACAATCCAGTGACTGATATCATGCAACTGTGATACAATGATATTCATTAATCAATCCTTGTTGCCTCTTACGACAAGCACAGTCAGCACTTACGACAAGCATGGGTTGCTGTAGACCTATTCTCAACCCGGATCTTAATAGCTGTAGGTGAGATCTGCAAGCAGTCCCTGAAGCAGGTCCTACAGGAAGATGGGGAGGTGAACACTAAGACCACACGGTATTATCAACATACCGGTGCACTGCAATACACGTTTCACACTAGACATATTGCAGTCCTTGTTTCTGTGTTCAGGAGGAATGGGTTCAAAAGAGATAACAAGTTTCATTATTATTTGCATCATGTTACCTAAAATCACAGAAATTCATTTCCAAATTATGTTTCCCGATGAAACTGATTGACAAAATGGTGGAAATGAACACAGACGTGATTTTTCTCTCACGTTGTCATCTCCCCAGCATCCATGACTACAAAATGAGGGTGAGTGACCATGGTGACTTGACATTGTTCTAAAATATAGAAATCGTTGTCAATAACTGCCAAACACTCTAGTTGCCAATATGTCGCAATATGTCACAATATGTATCGCAATATGTAACGCAATACAGATACCTGTATCGCAATATATTGCAAAACAATTTTTGGGCCGATACACATCCCTAGTGAACACAATGAAGGATACGGTCAGCATCTCCGGCAGGACCCCCTGCAGCTCCCCCTGGGTCGTCGCTCGAGTCAGAGTCATCACTAGGAAGTGGTCAGGAAAATAGCTCCAGAAACAGGCGACAAAACATTGTCTTGTACATCATTGTGAGAAACACTATTTTTAAAAGTGGTTAGAGACATCACTAATTAAGACTAAAGAATACTACTATAGTTATCATACCATGAAAAACATACTGTTTCTTTGTTTGCAGCGTAATGCTGCATTCAGCAATATTCCAGCAATATTCATGACAATTAATTATTAAAACAATGTGTACAATGGTGTAAATATTGAAATAAAACTAATCAGGTAAATCACTGCAGAATACTGTACATGTTTTGATTTATAGTACAAATATGAATCAAATCCTGTCTATTGTGTTCATGCTTGAAAGGATACGCTCCTTCTGAAACCTGACTGTATTGTGCCAGTATAGCAGCCTTTCTTGCCTTCTCTTCTGCTGTGAGTTCTCTCCCTTTGGTCACAGTCAATTTCTGGGTACTCAAGATCTTCGAGAGCTGGTCTTCGACACTAACTAGTTGTCAACAGAAACAAAGAACATTATGAATAAGTCAATGGCAATTACCATGACAACATGTGTATGTCCTTCAGGCACATTGACAAATAGTCATCCACACCAGTGACATAAGAGTGGTATGTTTCTAAAGTTCTTACAGTTGAAACTAAAGTGAGATGGAAACACTGAGAGTGAGTGAGTGAGTGAGTGAGTTGGGTTTAACGCTGCTTTAAACAGTATTCCATTATATCACAGCATGTCAGCTTAATATGGGAGAAAAGTCCAAAGTGATGCAGGTCTCAGACGTTTACCACTTTGGTGAAACCCACGAACACGGGTATAGTGGGCACTGAGAGAGACAGTGAGACTGAGTGAGACAGTGAGAGACAGTGAGACTGAGAGATACAGTGAGACTGAGAGAGACAGTGAGACTGAGTGAGACAGTGAGACTGAGAGAGACAGTGAGACTGAGAGAGACAGTGAGACTGAGAGAGACAGTGAGACTGAGAGAGACAGTGAGACTGAGTGAGACAGTGAGACTGAGAGAGACAGTGAGACTGAGTGAGACAGTGAGACTGAGAGAGACAGTGAGAGTGAGAGAGACAGTGAGACTGAGAGACTGAGAGAGACAGTGAGACTGAGTGAGACAGTGAGACTGAGTGAGACAGTGAGACTGAGAGAGACAGTGAGACTGAGAGAGACTGAGAGAGACAGTGAGACTGAGAGAGACAGTGAGACTGAGTGAGACAGTGAGACTGAGAGAGACAGTGAGACTGAGAGAGACTGAGAGAGACAGTGAGACTGAGAGAGACTGGGAGAGACAGTGAGACTGGGAGAGACAGTGAGACTGAGAGAGACAGTGAGACTGAGAGAGACAGTGGGACTGAGAGATACTGAGAGAGACAGTGAGACTGAGAGAGACAGTGAGACTGAGTGAGACTGAGAGAGACAGTGAGACTGAGAGAGACACTGAGACTGAGAGAGACAGTGAGACTGAGAGATACAGTGAGACTGAGAGAGACCGTGAGACTGAGAGAGACAGTGAGACTGAGAGAGACAGTGAGACTGAGAGAGACAGTGAGACTGAGTGAGACGGTGAGACTGAGTGAGACAGTGAGACTGAGAGAGACAGTGAGACTGAGAGAGACAGTGAGACAGAGATACAGTGAGACTGAGAGAGACAGTGAGACTGAGAGAGACAGTGAGACTGAGAGAGACAGTGAGACTGAGAGAGACTGAGAGAGACAGTGAGACTGAAAGAGACAGTGAGATTGACTGAGACAGTGAGACTGGGAGTGACAGTGAGATTGGGAGTGACAGTGAGATTGGGAGAGACAGTGAGATTCAGTGAGACAGTGAGACTGAGAGAGACAGTGAGACTGAGAGAGACTGAGTGAGACTGAGAGGGACTGGGTGAGACTGGGTGAGACTGAGAGGGACTGGGTGAGACTGGGTGAGACTGAGAGGGACTGAGAGAGACTGGGTGAGACTGGGTGAGACTGGGTGAGACTGAGTGAAACTGAGAGAGACTGAGGTTTGGAAGATGTTAGGTTAAGGGAAGCATTGGGTTGCATCAGTGTTAACATCTGAAATTCCAAATTTCTATTGAAACATGGACCATTGCAATGCATTGGTAAGTGAAAAGTCATAACACTGCCAGAATAGACAGACAAGGACCCTGTTTGCCGTGTTTATGCAGCATCACTATTCAACTATATCCTGGTGGACTGGGTGGACGAAGTAATAATTGTGCATCTTAAAACTATCAATAAGCAGGTGATGTAGTCTCTGTATAACACTAATATCTGCCTTCTCTCACTCTCAGAATGCTTTCAAAATTGATTTCTTATTAACATCTAACTTGTTGTAGTCACTATGTGACTGGCGTACTGCAATTGAGTGAGTGAGTAGGGTTTTACGCCACTTTTAGCAACATTCCATGCAATATCACAGCGGGGGAAACCAGAAATGGGCTTCACACATTGTACCCATGTGGGGAATTGAAACCTGGTCTTCAGCATGACGAGCGAACGCTTTAACCTCTAGGCTACCCGACTGCCCCTACTGCCAATGACATTTGAAATATTAACTCACTCACTCAGAACTTTTAATGGGGTAAATTTAATTGTTTGTTGTTAAACATCATACTTATCAATATCCCAGCCTCATGACCACGATGACAGCTAGATGAAAATAATCAAGTCTGGACCAGACAAGCCAGTGATTGATATTACACACCAAGCCACCAAGCCTGACCACAGTTCCACCTAGTCAACAAGCCCAATTGTGTTACAAACATAGATTGTTGTGGGCCTATTCTAACCCAGAATCCCCAAGGGGGTGTAAACAGAAGATAAGTGTTAGCACTGGGACGTGTCCAGATTTACTACCCCGGTACCCACCCCGCTATTACCCAACCCTACCCAGGTACCCACTGTAGGTCTCAAGAGTTGGGTACAAAATGTCCGATTGGGAATAGTTTGACCGTAGCTCTGGCAAAATGTATTTAGATACACGTATAAAACAATCTGGTCATGCATACACTGAAGTTGACTTAAGTTTTATCTTAATTCAAACCTATAAAGGTCAGAGGGAATGGTGCAAAGTCAGAAAGAAATGTGAACATCAGTGACTTGTAGTGTAACCATAGAGTTCTAGGTAATTTTTGTCATTCAACAATACAATATCACATGACTAAACACGGGTCCAGGTAGTCCTGTGAGTACCAGGGTCCTGCTCAGTACCCAGAGTTATCCATCCCAGCCCTAAAAAGGATATTTTAACCAAGATTAATCATCTCAATGATCAAGACTGCAAACAGCGAGAGACAAAAGCTTCAGACCTTTAGATCTTTATGTGGGAATACACTGTTTCTATACTTAAAAAGTAAACAAGACAAACCCATGTTACATTTGTATGAAATTATACATGCATTTGTGATGTTGTTTATTGGATTGTTTCACACAGCACTCAACAAGTCCAGCAATATGACAGTGGTCTTTAAATAATCAAGTCTGGACCAGACAGTCCAGCGATTGACATCATGAGCCTCAATATAGACATTTGGGCTACGAAGACATGCATCAACCAAGTCAGCGAGCCTGACCACCCAATCCCATCAATCACCTCTTACATTGTGATATAGTCGCTTGCGGGTTCCTTCCTCATGAGTGAGTGAGTGAGTGAGTTTGGTTTTACGCCGCTTTTAGCAATATTCCAGCAATATCACGGCGGAGGACACCAGAAATGGGCTTCACACATTGTACCCATGTCGGGAATCGAATCCGGGTCTTCGGCGTGACGAGCCAACGCTTTAACCACTAGGCTACCCGACCGCCCCCTTCCTCATGAAGCTGAAGACATGAGTTAATTCCCCACATGGGAACAATGTTCGGTGATTTGTTTGGTGTCCCCATTGTGTTATAGCTAAAAGTGGCACATGAACATCCTAAAAACTCCTATAACATAGCCATACAGAGAATCTCACCTGAGTGTCTTTTGATAACAAATATATATCAACACGGCTTGATAAAAATGGAAAAAATCTGAGGCTTGCCAAAGAGTTTTTCCACTTTTATCATAATTGATATCAAAAGACACAAGGGTGAGATTGTATTTATCATCCAACATCAGTCTTCCTACTTTTTTCATTTTGTAGACGGCAATAACCAGTGTCCTAAGTGTAAAAAGTACTGCTGACAGCTTCAGTAGTAGAGCCATTAGGGATGTCATTTGACTGTGACGTCATCGTAACCAATGACGTCACAGTGGTCTCACCCAAGCATATCTCCTATGGGAACCATCTTTGGGTGATAAATGAACGATGAACACAGGGTGAAATGGTATCATCAAACCTGTACACTTACTTTTATCTTCAGCCCCTGAATTCTGTTTGCCTTTAATTTCTTCCCATTTCTCAATCAGCTCTTCACATACAGCCTCAGTACCATCACTCTGGAAACACATCAGGTTGACACGTTATACATGAAGTGGTGAGATTCACTGGTGTACAATAGCACATATGTAAAGAAATTCACAAAATAATTACACGACACGATCGGGACAATTTCTTTCGATCATTGCATAAAATACCTTTAAGTTATATACGATTGGGTATTTTTTAACCGAGTCACCAGTAGATCCTGGAGAAAATGTGTGTACAGGTGATTGCTATTCCTGGCTCAGTTAACGAGACAAATATGCACGGTAATCTTAATCTCTGCATAGAAAACAACACCTAGCATGCCTAGTGGAACAGGAAACATAACTGAAATGGTAAATCATTTCAAGTGATGTTTTATCATGATTTTCAGATTTTCATTGACCAAGTTTGTTATAGATCTTCTGTTCTTTCAGCTGGAGAAATATGATGTATTTTTTTATAGCGTTTAGATTAATACTCAAAATAACAGTGTGATATCAGCATGTGCGTTTGAGGGTATGGGAATTAACTCTCAGCTTTCAAGTATTACGTAAGATTGTTTACTAGATAACGGAAGTCCTCAGATAAGGACATGTGTCGTACATCTTGGCCGCTGCCAGCAGGCAAGCAGCAGGTCGTCCCGATGTATCAATTACACTCATCGGCACTGCAGTGATCGTTAATGATAATCTACTGCTGAGGCTTGCCCTTTGGTACATGGTCTCTGGTACGGGTCAGCCATTTTCACTGGGTACGAATCGTCTAGTTTCCTCAGATATAACCCAATGTATGTTAATGAGTTTCCTATCTCAGAGTTCATCGGCTGATAATATGGAGATTGCTCTGAAGTCAGACATGTCACAATCAATCTTATTAAAATCATATCTTAGTTCTCGCTATTGCTAAACAAAGATCTGAGGACATCCCATATTACGGGTCACGTCAGAACAACCTTTCATCCGACCAATCAAAGCATTACTTACCAGATCATGAAAGTGACAGTCAGATTGTGTTTTCTAATCATGCAACCTCAAAAAACCTTAACACGGCTATTCAGAAAGACAGTTACAGCCCGTACAACCGATACTGTCAAAATTATCGTCTTTCTCTCGCTCCTGTGGGATAAACATTTGAACAGAGGAGGCATTTCACAGTACGTGGGAAGCACTGCCATACAATCTCAACCATATATGAGATATTCCGGTATGTTCATTTGTTCAGTTTTCAGAACTGTGTCAACATATTTTTTAAGCGTAGTCTAAAATGGAAGTAGCCACGTTGAAGCAAGTCCTGTAAAGCTCGAGCAAACTGCTTTCTAATTGGCTGATGTCGACTTCTCGTTAGTCATTTCAGTGATCGGTCATTCTGACGTGACCCGTAATGGGATGTCCTCAGATCTTTGTATAGCGGCAGCAAGAACTCAGTACTGATTTTAATGAGATTGTGTCAGATTGTAGTCTGCATGCATGTCAGGATAGACACCCGATGTCAGTGTGATCCCTGTATACTAGATTTTGAATACATTACGACAAACATGGGAACTCCGCACCTATCATAGCCAAGAATAACCACGCGTTTACAGCTAGTTCAGTACTAGTTGCATCTTGTTCAATGATCGAAATCTGAACAATCTATCAAAATATGAATACAGACCACTACTTCTGCAATTATTCCCTCCAAGCTCTCCTTTTTCTCTTCATTCGACGTATCTGTGTCTAGGATTCCGGAAATGTATGTTACAAACACTTCTCCATCCACATCTGGGTTTAATGAAATCAATTTCTGTGCCAACCACTCCTCGTATGGACTTACGGAGGCTGCCATTTTGAATGAATGTAAAAGTGAAACTCAAAAGCGAAAAGTAACGACCGCAATGTTACTAATGGTAGAAAACGTTGACACGGGAATAACAAAAGTAACTAAAGTAAAATATGCGTCTTTTTATTCATGACAATGACATGTTGTATTTGCATTTGTTAAATCGAAAAATCGAAAAATTTTAAGTAGGTTCGCAAAATATATTCGTATTTTCAGGGTTAGCCTCCTTCTTGGCTGCTTCGCTGAGAGATGACTGAAGTTGTTCCAACTTTTGGTGTGGTGGACGTTCTATAGTGATACTAGGTACAACAGACAGGTGCTTGTCATAGATAGGTATTAGTATGTGTTAATTACTCTCAAAGGAAACCGATGCACCTGTGACTCGTTGGACAGGTAACTCTATTTCCGTAGTCTAACTGATTTAACCCAAAAACAAAATCCAAAGAAGCGCAAATAAAAGAATCAAACAGACACTGCTACAATTTGTACATGAGTTCCACATGAAAATGTGGCTGTGGATGTGTAAATAACTTATTGCCAACGTAACACGCACTTGTTTAATCAATTTAAAACACAGAGCATAGGGGTGACCATCTGCGCCTATTGCCTCAGGTCGTCACCCTAAAGCCAAATGCATATGTCAGGTTTATGTCTTTCAGGGTTCAACAAGTATAACTCACTTCTTTAAGTGGCATTTAGAAGTTGTAGTGATGAAGTAAGACAAGTTCTATGGATGAACAACTTCTTTATTACAATTAGTGCGACGTTTCGGTGTAGATCCCAACACCTTTATCAATCACTTGCTTGATAAAGGTGTTAGGATCTACCCCGAAACGTCGCACTAATTGTAATAAAGAAGTATAATTCAGCTAGAAAACAGAAACACTCTTACTGCAAAATAAACAGGTACAAAATATCAGAGTAAATCTTCTTTCATATCACACATTCAACCAATTTCAGTCCTTTCATTCTGAAAATGTGACTTGATATTGTACAAGTTACACTACCTAGAGTTTACAATTGATTGTTCTGATCACTAGCATTTGTCTAGTGGACTGGTGTATTTGTTAAACTCTGCTGTTATCCATAGGTTTAGTGAGTGTGATTTAGAACTTCTTCTTCTTCTTGCATCAATCTTCAGGACTTTCAGCCAATCTTGAGTCTTATGAGCAGAGGGGGTGATCCCATGGAACAGCACAGCCTGATTAGGGATTACTGGTATACAATAAAAGCCCTGTAACAAGAGAAGACTAGTTCCCATGTGCGAAATGAGCATCAGTCGGAAAGCGCACGTTAAATCTCCAAAGTAAGTAAGTAAGTAAGTAAGTAAGTAAGTAAGTAAGAAGACTAGTGGGATGAAGGCTACAGGGGTGGAGTCGCCTGAAAAGGCCAATGAAATATCCAAATTGATTTAGGTGTCAGTCCATTTTTTTCTGCGAGTTGATTTATCAAAATCAAATCAGTCACTATTGTTACGTGTCAATAGCCAAATTGAAACAATATGTTTACCAAAAAAATCTGTACGTAAAAGAACTTAGTGTGAAACCAACAAACAACCAACAAATAGTATACAATCAACAAATTTATTTCCAAATTCACCAAGTTTACAAATCAATACAAATTACTGCATAGCAATTATGATGGCAGCAAATAATAGGATGGTAGTACAATATTCATGATATTCAATGGCAATACATAATATAATGGCAGTGGTCAGTATCAAATACAAAAAGTACAGTGGTGATAGCAAAAGTCAATGATAATAATGTTATATTTACCCAGCGCCGACAGTGGTCAAGCCTCCAGGGTGGGGCTAGGCAGTTACACAGTTACAATCATTGTTAAACAATAAAATACACTGTCATCAGAGACCATATAATAGATTATTATATGGTCTCTGCTGTCATATAAGAGTATAGTTGGAACTTTGAATAATTGTAAGTTTTAATCTTGTTTTTTGTTACAGATTTAATTCGCAAAGGATCCCATCGACCCAGCAGTTAGCCCCTCATTGAAATGTTGATTCATAAGCTACTTTGTTGTCCTAAAAAATCAAGACTATTTCTACGCTCTGTTTTGAAAGAGTGTACTCGGGCATATGACCTTGAACACTCCCATGTCAGTCGACATTTCTCAAGACAATATACAACAGCAGCTCCTGAACATGTTGCGTATGTTTCAAGATCCAAAAACATTTTTGAAAATCTTGCCTTGGAGGATTGGATTTACGAAAATGGAGATTTAGAAAATAAGAGCTACTTGCTGATGTGGAGTAATGGGCCTGCTGTTGTGACAGGTCTGCACCAGAATACATGGATGGAGTGCAATGTGGCTAGGATCCTGGCTGAGAAGGTTGATCTGGCCCGACGGAAGAGTGGTGGGGGGACAGTGTATCACGACACGGGGAACCTCAACCTCAGCTTTATCAAGAGTCGACGGAGGTACAACAGGAAAGAGAACTTGGAGTTAGTGAAGAGCGCACTAGTATCCATGTGGGATATTGATCTTTCAATCAACTGCAGAGAGGACCTAATACTAGATGGGTTTTTTAAGGTTAGTTAACACAGAATGAGGTTGTTATTCTTACATGAACAGGTAAATGAAACGTTTTTGTTCAGTTTGACTCTCTTAATCATGATTCTGGTTTTGAGCTTATGTATTACCTGCCATTGTCTGTAGCTGCTGTAGTAAGGCGTGGATTCATCCCACAGATGCACTGACACTGTTAACCTCTTTGATCATGTGGACAAGGCGTCTGTCCTCGGACCAAAAGGTCCATGGTTCGAATCCAATAACAGGACTTGGATATTTATGTCCGCTACGTTGGCGCCTAACGTGGGGCTGAGCAATCCTGTATCAATTTTCTCCATACCCTACTATGCTGCTCGGAACATGCCTTTTTGATGACGGGGTAGTGTGTAGCAGGGTGTGGAGTCCATGACAACTTGTTGATTGGGTTAACCTCTTTGGTCATATGGGCAAGGCATCCGACCCTGGATCAGAAGATGCGTGGTTTGAATCATATCATGGGACTCATATATTTTATCATTTCTGTGGGATTTGAACCACAGACGTGTCCTGATCATCACAGGTTGAACACCTTGTCCACATAACCACAAAGGGTAGCCATTAAAGCAAGATGACAAGGTAAGGAATTCACCTGAGGAGTGACTCCATGCTTGCTACCTGTTTTTGGAATATTGCGGTTCTGAAATAGGAGTCCATGTTTTGTTTGTTATTATGTCTCTCTCTGCTCATCATCTTAATTGATAGCTTCTGATATTTAAAAATTTGGAAAGTTTATTGTTTTCAGTTTTTATTGAAACAATTTAGACTTAGCCTTAAACAAGGGTAGGATTTGTTTCCGGTCAATAAAACTTGGCATATGCATTGCTCATCATCCTAACTGGTGACTTTGATATTTTCAAACGTTCAAAATTTTATGGAAACAATTAGACTTAGTCTCAAACAACTCTAATCTTCATTTCTGGCCCATTTAACTCTCAAACTAATGAATATTTTTGCTTGAAACTGTACATGCAACGACCACATGCTCAACTATTGCCTTTACATATTTATCAATGTTTATGGTTCTTAATTTCTTGTGTTTCCACAGAAAAAAATTGGACTTAGTCTCAAACTAATAGCGTTTGTTTCCCGTCAGAACTCTACAGCTAATGAATATTTCTGCTTGAAACCAAATAATTGGCTATCATTGCTTTTCCAATTTGCAAGCACACTTATAGTAACAACTTGAACTAATGTATTTAAAAAAAAGGGATGGGGGAGACATCTGTGTTTATGAGTAAAAATACATTTTAAGTTCAGTGTTGTATTTGTTCAGGTGTCCGGTACAGCAGCCAAGTTGGGAGGTCATCGGACATACCACCATTTTACTCTCCTGGTGGATGTGGATGTGGAGCGACTCGCTACCTTGCTACAGTCGCCCATGGTTGGTACTTGGATCAGTTACTCACTGTCACAATGACTTTTACAAGCAGGGTTAGAAACTGGTCCCAAGACAAGAGAAAATTTGCTTTTCTCCTCTCATCAAATTCCATTATAAAAAAAACATTCATCAGAATTAGGGTGGAATGAACTGTTTTTCAAGTTTTTCTTGACTAGGCTATGCTGATTAAAGTGGTTTCAATCATCACAAATATTAATATGATATTCATGACAACTAGTTATACTGAATGTCTACTTTAACAGATCTAGTTACCTGGAATAGATAAAGGTGGTCTTGATTGTATCCCAACAAGAACACCTAGTTAGGTCTAAAAAAATAAAAGAATTGGTTCTCAGGCAATGACTTTTGTAAATATAGTGCGGGCGGTGTTTTGTGGGGATTTTTTTGTTCAAACTAGCATGTAACCAAATAAACAAGCATACAAACTCCTATTGCTGCCATGACCAGAACATGAGATGCGCCGTAAAGGGAAGTAACTGTGTGCTGTATTGGATCCAATTGTTTTTAAGTATATAAAGAATTTTTATTTTTATTTAAAAATGGAAATAAAAATGAAACATGAGGCTAATTTTATGATGATGCATGCGGTGCCTCATCTTCCCGAGGCAAATGAGTTAACTGACTATAAAAGTCCAGTTTCCACCCTTGCCGAACTAGGCTGGTATTATGGAGTTACGTTTTGGCTGGACTAACGAGACTATGCATAGCCCAATCAAAATCGCGCACTGAAATCGAAATCCGGTTCGTAAAGTGTCATGCAGATTTTGGTTGACTGCAGGATTTGCAGAGCATGTGCACCGTCAACAGATATGTCAACAGATATTTTCCAAATCTTTTCATGTTTTTAATCAAGGTGCTCACGTGATTTGATGCATTTCGCGATGTAAGACCCATTTTATCACAATATAGATCTTGATTATCGATCAGATCGTCTTGACTGGGCGCCTCCATTTTGGGTGAAGCAAACGCAAGTGATACTAGAGGTGGAGTCTCATTGGTCCATAGGAGAGGCTTAGAGGGGACATAACTGGTAATAGCCACTGGTGGCGCTACGATCGAGCCCAGTAATTCCAGCCATGTTCAGCAAGGGTGGAAACTGGACTTTTAAAGGCAGTTAACTCTCTTGCCTCGGGAAGATGGCGGTGCCTGAGAACCAAGACTATTACTTTTTTAAGCCTTATCCAGTATTTTCCCAGTTAAGCAGAATCTACCTTACGAGTGTCAGATGTGTTGTTTCGGACTGAATATATACCAGAGCAAGTTTTTGTTGTGTTGTTGAAATGTACTTGTACTCATTCACTTTATGTTGTGTTTTATTTTGGAACAGATTGGTGTTAAAAGCAAATCAACAGAGAGTGTTCCAGCAAATGTTCGCAACTTGGTTGTGTCTGCACCATCCATAAACATCCCATCAATTTTGCAATGTGTTGGGGACAAGTTTCTCCATCATAACACACCACAGGTAAGGAGAAGAGCTACAGGGGGACATTTGAACTGGGACATGTTTGGGGTATCAGTTAACAGTCTGCGGCTACACACAAGCAGTCTGGTCTCAACACAATGGCGCCGCCTCCGTGGTCTTGTGGTAGAGCGTCTGCCCGGAAAGCGGAAGGTCCGGGGTTCGATCCCCGGCCGCGTCATACCAAAAGACGTTAAGAGATGGTACTTGTTGTTACCCTGTCTGGCGCTCAACATTAAGGGGCTAAAACAAGGACTGGTCGGCTCGGAGTCAGTATACTGTGTCTGAGTGGGGTATTCATGTTAAACTGCAGCATGGTATCTCAGTGAGCTAGCACTATAAATCGGCATGAGTCCGGACTAGTACAAGCAGCCACACACACACACGTGCATGCACGTCGCTATATAAGTGCAATAATCTTGGACGCGACGTTAAACCCAATTTCATCTCATCTCAACACAATGGCAGTCTGGGTCACCCACAAACAGCCTGGGTCTACCCAAGGGTGATATATCGAGAGACGGGCTTTGGAGCTAGTTGGGTGATTATCACTGGCGTGCAAGATCAAGCGGCACTTATTCACGAGATTATGCGAGATTCAAAGATTTACCTGCAGGGAATTCACTGCAAAGAAAAATCAGTTGTCCAACCCTTTACATATTTATTAATGTTGAGTTATGTTTGTTTTCTTGTTTGACAAACAACATTTATTACATGTAAGTACCTGTTTGTATATGTTAACACACTTGTGAATTAACGACCACATCCCATTGTTCTATGATACAAAAAGAAAATAGCGGTGTGCATGAAATTCACAATTTATCCATTTTCCAGTACAAATGACTTTATTAAATATGAAACAAAGAACTTAGTTACTGGAGTCAATCGGAAGATTTATTATATTTCTATGTCTTGGCATAATTTATTTCGTTACTTATTTGGGTGTTTTGTAAAGGATGTCCATCAGAAAGTATCACTAAAATTATTACCTAGTTACTTTTTCTCGACCACACTTCATTTTGCTACATCTTACAGTTCATGTAACTCGGTTAAACATTGTTATGATTAACTAAAAGTGGATTTTAACATTTGACCATTATTTTGTGCATGCAGCTGGGATGAAAAATATGTTTACAGTTTCTTTCTGATTCTTTGCGAATTTTGATCAAACCATCAATTATTTCAAGTTATAATTGTCTTGTTTAGATGTTCATTTTAAAGATACAATGTTTGGACTACGTTCTCTGTTAAATTTGATCAAAGAATTCACTCATTTTCAAAAGAGTAAAAATGGAAACTTTGATCAGAACTAATTAGGAAATCAGTGAACCAAATTGCTTTGGTTTCTATACAAAAATAATGTCTTATCAACTTTACTGTATTATATGTATATTTTTTAAGAATTTCTATAAAGTTTTGTTGTCATACATGAGGGCATAAAAAATTAACCTGATTCTCATCCAGCTTTTGAAAAAGAGTGAGGCAGGAAGCATTTGACAAAGTATGCATGTTATCCTGTGTCTACCCACAAGCAGTCTGGGTCTACCCACAAGCAGTCTGTTTCTACCCACAAGCAGTCTGTTTCTACCCACAAACAGTCTGTTTCTATCCACAAGCAGTCTGTTTCTATCCACAAGCAGTCTGTTTCTACCCACAAACAGTCTGTTTCTATCCACAAGCAGTCTGTTTCTATCCACAAGCAGTCTGGGTCTACCCACAAACAGCCTGGGTTTACCCACAAGCAGTCTGATTCTACCCACAAACAGTCTGGGTCTTCCCACGAACAGTCTGCATCATCTATCTACAAACAGTCTGTGCCTACCCACAATCAGTCTGGGTCTACCCACAGTCTGATTCTATCCACAATCAGTCTGGGTCTGCCCATAGTCTGATTCTACCCACAAACAGCCTGGGTCCACCCACAAACAGTCTGGGTCTACCCACAAACAGTCTGGGTCTACCCACAAACAGTCTGATTCTACCCACAAACAGTCTGAGTCTACCCACAAGCAGTCTGTTTCTACCCACAAACAGTCTGTTTCTATCCACAAGCAGTCTGTTTCTATCCACAAGCAGTCTGTTTCTACCCACAAACAGTCTGTTTCTATCCACAAGCAGTCTGTTTCTATCCACAAGCAGTCTGGGTCTACCCACAAACAGCCTGGGTTTACCCACAAGCAGTCTGATTCTACCCACAAACAGTCTGGGTCTTCCCACGAACAGTCTGCATCATCTATCTACAAACAGTCTGTGCCTACCCACAATCAGTCTGGGTCTACCCACAGTCTGATTCTATCCACAATCAGTCTGGGTCTGCCCATAGTCTGATTCTACCCACAAACAGCCTGGGTCCACCCACAAACAGTCTGGGTCTACCCACAAACAGTCTGATTCTACCCACAAACAGTCTGAGTCTACCCACAAGCAGTCTGTTTCTACCCACAAACAGTCTGGGTCTACCCACAAACAGTCTGGGTCTACCCACAAACAATCTGGGTCTACCCACAAAGAGTCTGGGTCTATCTACAAACTGTCTGGGTCTACCCACAAACAGTCTGGGTCTACCCACAAACAGTCTGATTCTACCCACAAACAGTCTGGGTCTACCCACAAGCAGTCTGTTTCTACCCACAAACAAGTCTGGGTCTACCCACAAACAGTCTGGGTCTACCCACAAACAATCTGGGTCTACCCACAAACAGTCTGGGTCTACCCACAAGCAGTCTGTTTCTACCCACAAACAGTCTGGGTCTACCCACAAGCAGTCTGTTTCTAACCACAAACAGTCTGTTTCTACCCACAAACAGTCTGGGTCTACCCACAAACAGTCTGGGCCCACAAACAGCCTGGGTCCACCCACAAACAGTCTGGGTCCACCCACAAACAGTCTGGGCCCACCCACAAACAGCCTGGGTCCACCCACAAACAGTCTGGGTCCACCCACAAACAGCCTGGGTCCACCCACAAACAGTCTGGGTCCACCCACAAACAGTCTGGGTCCACCCACAAACAGCCTGGGTCTACCCACAAACAGTCTGGGTCCACCCACAAACAGTCTGGGTCTACCCACAAACAGCCTGGGTCTACCCACAAACAGCCTGGGTTTACCCACAAGCAGTCTGATTCTACCCACAAACAGTCTGGGTCTTCCCACGAACAGTCTGCATCATCTATCTACAAACAGTCTGTGCCTACCCACAATCAGTCTGGGTCTACCCACAGTCTGATTCTATCCACAATCAGTCTGGGTCTGCCCATAGTCTGATTCTACCCACAAACAGCCTGGGTCCACCCACAAACAGTCTGGGTCTACCCACAAACAGTCTGGGTCTACCCACAAACAGTCTGATTCTACCCACAAACAGTCTGGGTCTACCCACAAGCAGTCTGTTTCTACCCACAAACAGTCTGGGTCTACCCACAAACAGTCTGGGTCTACCCACAAACAATCTGGGTCTACCCACAAACAGTCTGGGTCTATCTACAAACTGTCTGGGTCTACCCACAAACAGTCTGGGTCTACCCACAAACAGTCTGATTCTACCCACAAACAGTCTGGGTCTACCCACAAGCAGTCTGTTTCTACCCACAAACAAGTCTGGGTCTACCCACAAACAGTCTGGGTCTACCCACAAACAATCTGGGTCTACCCACAAACAGTCTTGGTCTACCCACAAGCAGTCTGTTTCTACCCACAAACAGTCTGGGTCTACCCACAAGCAGTCTGTTTCTAACCACAAACAGTCTGTTTCTACCCACAAACAGTCTGGGTCTACCCACAAACAGTCTGGGCCCACAAACAGCCTGGGTCCACCCACAAACAGTCTGGGTCCACCCACAAACAGTCTGGGCCCACCCACAAACAGTCTGGGCCCACCCACAAACAGCCTGGGTCCACCCACAAACAGTCTGGGTCCACCCACAAACAGCCTGGGTCCACCCACAAACAGTCTGGGTCCACCCACAAACAGTCTGGGTCCACCCACAAACAGCCTGGGTCTACCCACAAACAGTCTGGGTCCACCCACAAACAGTCTGGGTCTACCCACAAACAGCCTGGGTCTACCCACAAACAGTCTGGGTCCATGCCATTTCGACATGATAACATAGAAACAGTCATCATATGGAGCCGAACCATCAAATCCAATTGAATGTCTTTTACGACAAACACCAATTATGACCGGGACTGCTGTACCCAGCATCTTCTCACCAGGTGTGTGGTGCAGGGGCAAGTTGAGAGACACACAGAGAAGCTCCCAGACCAAAGAACATGACATTGTATTTCGTGAAACGTCACTTTGTTCTCATTTAAGGTCAGGAAAGGTTCCCAAGAATACCTTGTTTGTCAAAAGAGCTGACAAAAAATTGGGTAGGTTAGACTCTGTTGTTGATGTGTGTGACCTATGTTATTATGTTTGTTGCTCATGCATTCAGTCAGTGGTTGCCCAGGTACAGATAGGATTAATTACAGGTCACCCTCATAGACTGTAAGTCATGGAATGAGTGTGAGAAGCCTTACCTTTGAACATATAACACTAATCTGCAAACGATGACATCAAGACTGTAGACTTAAAAATTCCAAGATTTAGTATTGTGTAATAGCAGTTCGAATGAATAATATCATAACAAACTTAACTTCAACTGCTTGACATGTGATCGAACTTCCATGAAATCAAAAGCAATATATGTTCCAAATATGTCATATTCAAATGAGATAGGTCAGTCAGGTCACCGATGAAGATTGTACATATTTCAAGTGGTGTTACTCGAGTTAGTGCAATCCTTTGATCGTATATGAGCAGTCTTACGTATTTACACTGACCGCTGTTACTATATAGACATATACACTATGGGTGAGTGGTGAGTTACTATTAATAATAAGATTATTTGACAAGGTTACCAAGAATGGAGACACAATTATATACGGTTGGCGACTGTCATAACTGCCTAATCAGCAAGTATTAACAAACTGACCACACTTGACACTGATCTCCGTGGGAAGCACTAAATCTAGCTCTCAGTTAAATTGTTTATGAATGTTATGAATGTTTCCGACCATGCTCAGCAGTGAACCTAAAATGAGAAAAACCTCTAAAATGTTGTGATGAAAATGGCTCCCTTCATTAATGCAAACAAGGGACATTCATATTTTTCGCTTTAATGTCAAGATTTACAATAGCTGTAAATTGCTGGCTGCTTCGTAAAACAACACTCATTTACTTGTTGATGAATTGACTTTGTTTTTGTGAAGGGTTTCTGAGTCTTTGTATTTAAATTCATGTATTTTCTTTCAGGGAAACTGTTCCATACGGCACATCGATACAATCACAGATTCAGATTTTCCAGGAGTTTCCACAAAAATCGAAGAATTGAAAAACTGGGATTGGATTTTTGCAAAAACACCTCCATTCTCAATCATCAAGTCCTACACTAAAGTCATTGATGGACAAAAGGTTGACCTTGACCTCAATATTGATATAGTCAAAGGTAAAATTCACAAAATAAAAACGAATCTTACTAGTGGAGGACAAACAGCAGTTAGCAATGACACACATCTTCAACAATACCTCGTGAAGCTGACTGACAAGCCTTTGAAAAAACAAGAGTTATCTCCTTTTTTTCAAACTTTAATCTCCCTGGCTAATTCTGGATACGAGAGTGTGGTATTAAAATCCCATGTTCAGTGGGTTTTGGAATGTATAAGAAAGTCATTGCTTAGTGAATAAAAGATGCAGCTATTTACATGATTTAAGTGTACCCTATGTATGATTATTTGTAGCAAATATTTGATACATGTAATTTTTTAAATGTGTATCTGAAGGATGTGGGGTCCATCGGCGTTCCCGTTTACTGGTAATTACAAGGTTTTACCCGTAAAATAAGGCTTGGACCGGTAATTCATGTAACTGCCAGTCCCTGTGGACCTGCAAATAAAGTACCTTATAAATCTTTGTTGTTGAACAAAACATCAGTGATATTCATATAAGTACATTCAAACAAAGTCAGATTGTTTGTTACAATCAGGGTTTCCCCTTGTCCATTCATAGGTTAAATATCCATTTGTAGCGACTTCATCTCAAAATATTTTGAGAAAAAAGAAAAGAAAATTGTGACTGAAGTTTGTGTGAATGACAAATAGATCTAACTAAGTTACTTCAGAGATGACATCTTTGCACTGAACATCATGTTGAAAGAATTAAAAGCAAATAATTTTCTTACGGTTTTTTATTTGTTGAAAGTTAGGACAGGCAAAAATAAGGGGGGGGCAGGTAATTTTTAGAGTTTCCAGTCCACAAGGACTAGCAGTTTCAAAAGCAAACGGGAACACTGTCCATATATTCAGAATCGTTAGTCATGGATGTTCTTTGCACTAGATTTTTTATGTGTTGAAACTCTGTGTTTTTGGTTTGAAATGTAAAATATTGAGCGAACTTAAAACCCTAGGGCCGAAAGCCAGAGGAATTTTCTCAAGGTTTTATTTTTTCAACCAAAACTGAGGAGTGTTTTAACGAACTTATGAACTGTCTAAATGCAAGAAATACCAGAGAAAAATAAGAAAACATCAGGATGCCTTATAGTGAAACAATACAGTATTTGTTGCATAAAATGAATATGATGACGCGGGCGTGAGAATGAGAGACAACAAGTCATGACATGTAAAATTAAACACCCTTTCATCACCTGCCCCAGTGCTAAAAATGATATGTGAGGCTCCAGGTTCAATTCATGTCATGGTATTTACATGTGAAAAACATTGTGGCTTATAACCACTCAAAAATCAACATAAAATGCATAATGAAAGGCTGTTTATACTATTCAATTGTAAAACTTCCAAGCAGGTTCCAATCACAGGATTCCTATGAGATGTTATGTCATGATTCCCAAATTGAAACACTATGTTAACCAAGAAATCTGTATGTAAAAGAACTAAGTGTGACACCAGTCTGACCCAACTCATACCATCACACACCTGAAAAGTCAATCAGGCCACCATGTCAACAGTCAGTCTGAACCATCGCATGCTCTCCCACACTTGACAAGTCAATCAGGCCACCATGTCAACAGTCAGTCTGAACCATCTCATGCCCTCTCACACCTGACAAGTCAATAAGGCCTCCATGTCAACAGTCAGTCTGAACCATCTCATGCCCTCTCACACCTGACAAGTCAATCAGGCCACCATGTCAACAGTCAGTCTGAACCATCGCATGCCCTCCCACACCTGACAAGTCAATCAGGCCACCATGTCGACAGTCAGTCTGAACCATCGCATGCTCTCCCACACTTGACAAGTCAATCAGGCCACCATGTCAACAGTCAGTCTGAACCATCGCATGCTCTCCCACACTTGACAAGTCAATCAGGCCACCATGTCAACAGTCAGTCTGAACCATCGCATGCTCTCCCACACTTGACAAGTCAATCAGGCAACCATGTCAACAGTCAGTCTGAACCATCGCATGCTCTCCCACACTTGACAAGTCAATCAGGCCACCATGTCAACAGTCAGTCTGAACCATCGCATGCTCTCCCACACTTGACAAGTCAATCAGGCCACCATGTCAACAGTCAGTCTGAACCATTGCATGCTCTCCCACACTTGACAAGTCAATCAGGCCACCATGTCAACAGTCAGTCTGAACCATCGCATGCTCTCCCACACTTGACAAGTCAATCAGGCAACCATGTCAACAGTCAGTCTGAACCATCTCATGCCCTCCCACACTTGACAAGTCAATCAGGCAACCATGTCGACAGTCAGTCTGAACCATTGCATGCTCTCCCACACTTGACAAGTCAATCAGGCCACCATGTCAACAGTCAGTCTGAACCATCGCATGCTCTCCCACACTTGACAAGTCAATCAGGCAACCATGTCGACAGTCAGTCTGAACCATCTCATGCCCTCCCACACTTGACAAGTCAATAAGGCCTCCATGTCAACAGTCAGTCTGAACCATCGCATGCTCTCCCACACTTGACAAGTCAATCAGGCCACCACGTCAACAGTCAGTCTGAACCATTGCATGCTCTCCCACTCTTGACAAGTCAATCAGGCCACCATGTCAACAGTCAGTCTGAACCATCGCATGCTCTCCCACACTTGACAAGTCAATCAGGCCACCACGTCAACAGTCAGTCTGAACCATCGCATGCTCTCCCACACTTGACAAGTCAATCAGGCCACCATGTCAACAGTCAGTCTGAACCATTGCATGCTCTCCCACTCTTGACAAGTCAATCAGGCCACCATGTCAACAGTCAGTCTGAACCATCGCATGCTCTCCCACACTTGACAAGTCAATCAGGCCACCATGTCAACAGTCAGTCTGAACCATCGCATGCTCTCCCACACTTGACAAGTCAATCAGGCCTCCATGTCGACAGTCAGTCTCAACCATTGCATGCTCTCCCACACTTGACAAGTCAATCAGGCCTCCATGTCAACAGTCAGTCTGAACCATCTCATGCCCTCTCACACCTGACAAGTCAATCAGGCCACCACGTCAACAGTCAGTCTCAACCATTGCATGCTCTCCCACACTTGACAAGTCAATCAGGCCACCATGTCAACAGTCAGTCTGAACCATCGCATGCTCTCCCACACTTGACAAGTCAATCAGGCCACCATGTCAACAGTCAGTCTGAACCATCGCATGCTCTCCCACACTTGACAAGTCAATCAGGCCACCATGTCGACAGTCAGTCTCAACCATCGCATGCTCTCCCACACTTGACAAGTCAATCAGGCCACCATGTCAACAGTCAGTCTGAACCATCGCATGCTCTCCCACACTTGACAAGTCAATCAGGCCACCATGTCAACAGTCAGTCTGAACCATTGCATGCTCTCCCACACTTGACAAGTCAATCAGGCCACCATGTCAACAGTCAGTCTGAACCATCGCATGCTCTCCCACACTTGACAAGTCAATCAGGCAACCATGTCGACAGTCAGTCTGAACCATCTCATGCCCTCCCACACTTGACAAGTCAATCAGGCAACCATGTCGACAGTCAGTCTGAACCATTGCATGCTCTCCCACACTTGACAAGTCAATCAGGCCACCATGTCAACAGTCAGTCTGAACCATTGCATGCTCTCCCACTCTTGACAAGTCAATAAGGCCTCCATGTCAACAGTCAGTCTGAACCATCGCATGCTCTCCCACACTTGACAAGTCAATCAGGCCACCATGTCAACAGTCAGTCTGAACCATTGCATGCTCTCCCACTCTTGACAAGTCAATAAGGCCACCATGTCAACAGTCAGTCTGAACCATCGCATGCTCTCCCACACTTGACAAGTCAATCAGGCAACCATGTCGACAGTCAGTCTGAACCATCTCATGCCCTCCCACACTTGACAAGTCAATAAGGCCTCCATGTCAACAGTCAGTCTGAACCATCGCATGCTCTCCCACACTTGACAAGTCAATCAGGCCTCCATGTCAACAGTCAGTCTGAACCATCTCATGCCCTCCCACACTTGACAAGTCAATAAGGCCTCCATGTCAACAGTCAGTCTGAACCATCGCATGCTCTCCCACACTTGACAAGTCAATCAGGCCACCACGTCAACAGTCAGTCTGAACCATTGCATGCTCTCCCACTCTTGACAAGTCAATCAGGCCACCATGTCAACAGTCAGTCTGAACCATCGCATGCTCTCCCACACTTGACAAGTCAATCAGGCCACCACGTCAACAGTCAGTCTGAACCATCGCATGCTCTCCCACACTTGACAAGTCAATCAGGCCACCATGTCAACAGTCAGTCTGAACCATTGCATGCTCTCCCACTCTTGACAAGTCAATCAGGCCACCATGTCAACAGTCAGTCTGAACCATCGCATGCTCTCCCACACTTGACAAGTCAATCAGGCCACCATGTCAACAGTCAGTCTGAACCATCGCATGCTCTCCCACACTTGACAAGTCAATCAGGCCTCCATGTCGACAGTCAGTCTCAACCATTGCATGCTCTCCCACACTTGACAAGTCAATCAGGCCTCCATGTCAACAGTCAGTCTGAACCATCTCATGCCCTCTCACACCTGACAAGTCAATCAGGCCACCACGTCAACAGTCAGTCTCAACCATTGCATGCTCTCCCACTCTTGACAAGTCAATCAGGCCACCATGTCAACAGTCAGTCTAAACCATCGCATGCTCTCCCACACTTGACAAGTCAATCAGGCCACCATGTCGACAGTCAGTCTCAACCATCGCATGCTCTCCCACACTTGACAAGTCAATCAGGCCACCATGTCAACAGTCAGTCTCAACCATCGCATGCTCTCCCACACTTGACAAGTCAATCAGGCCTCCATGTCGACAGTCAGTCTCAACCATTGCATGCTCTCCCACACTTGACAAGTCAATCAGGCCTCCATGTCAACAGTCAGTCTGAACCATCGCATGCTCTCCCACACTTGACAAGTCAATCAGGCCACCACGTCAACAGTCAGTCTGAACCATTGCATGCTCTCCCACTCTTGACAAGTCAATCAGGCCACCATGTCAACAGTCAGTCTGAACCATCGCATGCTCTCCCACACTTGACAAGTCAATCAGGCCACCACGTCAACAGTCAGTCTGAACCATCGCATGCTCTCCCACACTTGACAAGTCAATCAGGCCACCATGTCAACAGTCAGTCTGAACCATTGCATGCTCTCCCACTCTTGACAAGTCAATCAGGCCACCATGTCAACAGTCAGTCTGAACCATCGCATGCTC